TGCAACTTCTTATTTACTCATTCAAGTGTGTAGCAGAGCCAAGAACTAACTCCAGATTTTGTGAAGTGTTCCTTTTTTTGGACCTGTGGACCATGGCTAGGTCAAGTTATGGCAGAAATAACATACCAGGATCAAAACCACTTTGTTCTTTCAATGCATGCTAAAGCTGTCTTTAGAAGTACTTTATATCTACTCTAAAATGCTCGTGTGACACAATAAGAATAAAAATACACCTTTTAACAAAAGCTAATATTTCTGCACTTGTCGTATTTCATCAGTTCAGGCTCTCAGGACTTTTTTTTTTTATGACACTTAACAAGTTTTTCACTGTTACATCTTCTTGCAAATAGGGAGCCTGTAGTGCAGGCTTTCTGCTTAAACAGGTTATCTTTACAACTTACTATTTCTACTTCATTTTAGACAGTTATTGAGGGTCTAATGCTTGGAGCAGTGTTAGTGTAAGTCTTTGAACAGAGTTTGAATTAGTGGTGCCAGTTAAACTGCATGTCACTCAAAATAAGGTTTATACTTTATTTTTAGCCTCTGTGATGCTGATGCAGTGATGTGGTCCTTAGGTGCAACTTCATTTGTGACTTTGGGATTGTCTCTCTTTGCACTACTGACAAAAGTAGGTAGTGCTGTTGAACTGTGACTAAGGAAGTTGATTTTCTTTATGTTTGTTGTTAAATAATGTTCTCAGGTCTCCATTATCAGCTAGCATGGCAGCTGCAAGTCAGCACTGATTCCTAATGGCACAAGATGCACATTCCCACTGTGCGTGTAAATTAACTTGTTAATTACCTAAACTTTTACTTCAATTAATAAAAATTTATTTATTTAGTTGATAAAAAAAATATAAAGAAGGTCTGCCAGTTCGGTAAGATCTCCTATTACGTGAAAAGCAACTTCAGTTATTTACCATTGCCTTTTTTATGGCTGCTTTACACTTAGATTTCAAAAATATGGCAAATACCTGTCCTTTTCAGTCAACTGCACTTAACAGGATACTTGGGGATATCAGTGAATCTTTTTTTTTTTTTGATGAAATTTTCTTCTGGGGTAGGCATCCCCCTGCCCGCACACACTTCTGATGCAGCCTCAGCTGCCTTTTGTTCTGCACTATGTTGCACTGTCTAGAGCTGTTTTTTTGCACCCTACCTTTTAAATTTCCCCAGGAAATCCTATCAATCAGAGCAGGAAAGGTGTGAAAGCCAATTCCAGAACTAAGTCAAAGATTGCAGTGCACAGTCTTTGGGTGTGCAGTTACCTAACCTGTCTGTGTGAATGTCCAAAACTGCTGGATATAAGTGCATACTACCTCTAGCTTGAGTCTCTGTATATCTATTTATACAAGAGGAACAGAAGGAGAAACTCTTATAAGAGAGCAAAATAGGCCTGTGATCAGGACATATGCTCTAGGGACGTGGAAAGCTTGGGTTCAAGACTCTTACTTAGTCAAAGACTTTCAAATTGAGCACCATAGGGTCCTAAGTAGGAGCATCTGACTTGTAGAGGAGCGCCTTAATCAGCAGGCTGCTGGAGGTGCCCGTGCACACACATTGCAGTCACGCTGGAGCGTGCTGGCTGCTGTGTTAGCTGTGTCAGAAAGCGTGCTGGAGGCATGACGCCTACTGGGTTTTAGGTAAAGCTGCCGGCTGAGGAATTTGCTGGCACCAGGGACCGATTTGATGACACGTCTCCTGGCAAAAGTAGAGATTATTGAGAAGAGGATTTAGGCTGTAGTGGTGCTTGAAAGGTTAAAGTGGTGCTCAAGTGCTTCTGTGGCTCTGCTTTTGTATAAAGCATGGGCAGTCCCTGTTTCTGAGACACTATGTAGTTACAGCCTTTCTGGACTTCTGGAACGTGGCAGGCTCAAAGCACAATTTTGTGACTTTTTGTCTCTTTTTGGACTGGTCAGAGGATCTGCTGTAGTAGGCCATATACTTGAGCTGAGTTTCATTTTTATCTCCAGTGGGACTTCACGGTAGTGACTGGAATGCTCCTGATTCTGATCTTGGTACTTGCAGCCTTTGGCATTCTTTGTGCCAACTTGCAATCGTTTGTGAGTATACTTCTTTTCATTTGCCTTGAAGGCATAGAGCACTTTGCACTGTTTGTTGGCTTCTGGAACCACTTCAAACTTGCCTAGAATATTTTTCCACAGTTTAGTCTGGGCATCCTTGCGCTCTCTCTGGATATTTTAAATATTTTCTCGCTTACATTCCATTTATTTGGATTGTCATGCAAATAACCTAAAAAGGGACCTATGGCATAATTTCAAAGTGTGAGGCTAGAGAAAAATACGTACAAAAAAAATTTTCTCAACTTCATATTTCACTACAGAAGGAGTTTTGCAAAGATCAAGACCTGCATAATTTTAAAGTGACACCATCCTGTCAACAGTTAGTTTTAACATTTTGCTAGTGAGATGTAACTGTAAGTCTGTATGAAGAGCAGAGGAAAACAGGGCTTTGCAGTTACGAAGTTAGGAAACATTTTTTATTTAGTCCATTATTGTATTTTGAATAAGTTTTTATGTACTACCTAAATTGTTCTATGTTGTTATATATTTGGACAACAGTATAAATGCTACATATTTCATATTTACATATTTTGCATATTTCTGAAGTTGCCTGAAAGTGTATCATTGCAGAAAGTCAAGACTTCATTCATTCCTTTGCCCTTGTGCAAAGACTGACAGAAAACCCATCTCATGCAGTAATTACAGGGGATCCGTTGCCTTCTCCATATCCTGTGCTTTATTCCTCCATTTGACAGGACTAGATGGTAAACTGATACTCAGTTTTGCATCTTCACTAGCTTTTCTACATCTTTCAGGTTTCCCTATCTGGCTGACCTGAAACAGTAACGGGGACAATAATCGTTATATTGTCTAATTCAGAGTAGATTAGATTGTCTGCGCGATTTTTAGTAAAGTAACTAGCTACCCCTGTATCTGTGTTTGCCTGCCATTCTTACCAACCCATGAGTATTATCTTGGGATGCCCGATGTATGCTGGGAGAGGGGAAGCGAAGGAGAAGATAACAGTGAAATCATTCTTGATAAACAGACCTCTGAACCTGGGTTGGAGGGGGCGTCTAATTTTAAAGCATGTTGTTGTGATTTAAAACACCTCACCAAATATGGTCTAGATTTGAACATCTATATAATGTGCTCTAGCTGCAAGAAGAACAAATCTCTCTCTCATGATGCTCAGTATCGTAGTAAAACTCAGTACTTGGTAACTGTAGCATATTCAGTGAGACCACTGCAGCGGGTGGTGGATAGCGTCATGCAAACCCAAACCCACTCCCTCAAATTTGTACATTAGATGTTAGAAGCACTCCAGGATTTTTGCATGCTTGTTGGAGGAAGCTAACTAAATTACTGCAACAATGAACAGAATAGTTTAGCGCTTATTAACATACAGAGGCAGCCTGGAATATCCTGGTGTTAAAGAACATTGGCTATTAAGTGGTTGAATTTAGGCGCTCCGGGGTAAAAACTCAGCAAGATCAGGCTATTCATGTTTTCTTGGACAAAATCAGTATCCGCATTTCATTTCTATCTTAATATGCAGTGTTTAGGTTTAGTCTCATATCAGTGCTACTCAAGTTAGTAATGGCATCTTCCTCAACAGTTAGCCCCCCCACTATTTCTTTACAGAAAACAGGTGCCTACTGTGGCGGTAGCAATTTAAGCAAAATTGTCTGCTTTAGATTTTGTTTTTAAAACTTAATGAATATAAGCATCTGACATTTACAAATGAAAATATTCAGCTTGTTGTGGGACCCCCAGCTAATCTGGCACAGGACTGAGTATATCCTAAAAACTTATGTCATCAGTCTTAAGAATCTGCTACAGTAAGTCCAAGATGTAATGAGACAGAACGGAATTAGTTTAAGTAATAAATGTTTAATCAAAGAATTTTACATATTATTAACAGCATTCATTTGGCCAAACATCTACATGGTTGTAGTATCCTACTTGTATATAAAGTGGGAATGTATCAAGTATAGACTATGAAAGTGCAAATAACAATTCAAGGTTAGATTAATTTTTTTACATTATAAAATTAACAGGTTTACAAAATAGTCTTGCCAAACTTTATTTTTGAATTGTAAAGTCAATGACTATGGTGTTAAAATAAGTACCAAGAAAATACAAATTTAATAGGGTAATTTCATGCTCATAAGAGTAACACAGAAACAATGGATATACTGCACAACCTAACCAAATTACAAAAAACCAGAACCCACAAACTTAGCACTATCTTCACAGAGAGCACTCTTACATATCTTACTGTAGCTTTGCAAGACATTTCAATGCAATACACACAATCTTTGTGAGAATCGTTCTATTCAGAAAATACAATTCAAGGAAGCTATGCGAGTTAAACAACTTTCAGACCAGTTCATGATGATAGTTCATGAAGAACTACTTTAGATTATAGGATTTTATACCACTGAACAACTGAAAATAGGTATTTTTCAAAGATGTCCAAGAGTTCATGACTACGTTGAGAATAGGGCAGCTAGATGAAAAGTGGGAAAATGGTTTGAGACTAATTCTATTCCACTTTCTCTAAATGCTTGCAAAATGAACTAGGTTTTTTTATGGGCTAAGGGTAAAATATTCTTACTTCATTTTTTACTAATATGAACCCTGTGGCTGCAAGGTTCAAAAGCAGGATTTGCATGAATTAGTTACCAAAACACTCACTTGAACTCACAGTAATCAATACATAAACTTTGCTATCATGACACTTGCCTATACACACTCAGTAGTAACAAACTTTTATACCATATCAACAAATCTCTGGTAACAGTTAAGCAAAACTTAAAATGGAGTGTACATAATTTTCTTGTATTATGACAGGTTTTGATTATATGTATTTAAAACAGCCATTTCAACAACTTACTCTAGTTGTAATTACGTACTGTACCATTGTATCTCACTAACTGTAGACTGATGCTTTTAAGCAAATCTAAAACCAGTATTTTTTTTTTTCACGGTACAACAACTAGGAAGAGGGTTTTCTTTTGTTGTTTTTTTACACTAAACAGTAATCACACAGCAAATGAGTATTGTGCAATTGAACAGATATCTAGCAGTGTTTTGTTTATGCAAAAACACTGCCTGAACATTTACTTATTTACGGTAAAGGCAAGGCCATGGGTGGTTTTATGGAGGTCTTTGCAATTAATAGCATAGTTACTCCAGAACAGACACTGAATTTGAATTACTTGTTTAACTGTGGCAACTATCCAGTTGGGTTAGGCAAAGGCACCGTAACATGTTGAGCAAACTGTGTTATCTGAACTTTAACTGTGGGAGTGGCTAATGTATGAAAATTCTGTATTCCTATATTTTTATAAAACGTTATCATTAAAAGTAATTGCACTATTAGTGCATAGAATGCTTTGTAGAATTATGAAAACAAAGAGCTATGATTGCACTTCCATTAAAGTGTCTCTTAAAATACAGCACAGCTGTTGCTAACCCACTGTATTTTAATTATTTAAAATAACTGTTTAACAGCAGCATTAGGTTTTATTAACTTAAGATACAGGCTACATTTAATTAAATGCAGTCACCATGGCAATACATGCCAGCTAAATTTAGAGAAGCAATGCTACCCAGTGGTTTCTTTCACTACTAAAAATTGTGGGATTAGTTTGATAGAGTAACACTGCACTGTTTCATTAGGCTACAGCCAGCTAACTATTCACAGTTTGGCACGTTTGGACTGTAAATAGACATGAAAAAATCTTTGATTTTTAATGTGAAAGCGTATCCCCTATAACTTGTTCCTGGAGCAGTACTAAAGAGAAGCATTAAATACCTCCATTCACACTGCTACAAAAAAAAAAAAAAAAAAAAACAGAAAAATGAGTAAGGAGAAGTTATGGAAAACAAAAACAAAATGCAAATGAATTACTAAATATTATTTTGGTGAAAGAATGAGTTCTAAAAAATGGAATAAACTATTTCTTAGGAAAAACAAACAAAATAATCAGTGTAAGCCTTTAATCCATACTTTCAAGTTAAGGATCATCAACCTAAGGCTAAACAGATGCTGCATTGTATTAGGAATGTGGAGTACAACCTACTTATTTCCTTTTTCTTGAGAGCAAAAAGGCAAGTACTACCTAATTAAATGCAAAGGATATTCCTTGAAAGGTTCACATTATTATAAAGAACTGCAATTCAAGAGAACTCCCAAGTATCCATTGTTATGTCAGTGGTTACAACTGAGCTGTCATTATGTGGATCAAAGCCTCCCTAATTGCTTATTCCACATACTGTACCATCTGTCACTGCCATTCATTTACTCCAATTTTAATTCTTGTTCATACCAGATGCACATGTTCAATCCATTCACTTGAGGTCTGAGGAGTCTGACTTGAAATATCTTCTGAAGCATCTTCCCTGGTATGATCACCACTTTGGGATACTGTTTCACCTGGAATAACGTTTTCTTCGGAAGTACTCTCCTCTGTCTGGGTTCCTCTGCCTTCGTTTTTGAGTGTATCCTCAAATAGCGCATGCTCTTCCTGAGGCTCCAGTCCTATGTCTATAAGATTTGGTTGCCCTGATGACCCATCTTCAGTACTGGGTTGCTGTGAATCCTCATCCGTTTCTGTACTTGCTGAGGGGATCAGAGCAATGCTCTGTGGGTTCATGTCATGAAACCAGGCCATAATATTTCCAAGTAGATTTTCATTGGTGTTGGGATCCTGACTGCTTGAATCCGCGTCACTAGATGTTGAATATAATCCACTTCTTGTATCACTGCAGGGGTGTGAATGAAGACGATCAGCTGAAAAGGGATCATTGCCTGCACCTAGTCTCATCAGACTATCGCCAAGTTCCAACAGCTCAGAGCTGCTCAATGCCGACCTTGGGTTATCTATACTTATGGGAGCAGAGTCCAATCTTGTAGGCAAAGAAGTACCTATTGCTCCTAACGATGCCTCATTATTTAGAAAGTCTCTAGTTTCTTCATCTATGGCCAAGCCAGATTCTTGCAATGATAGCTGAATAGCTAGCAGGATGTTTGGGTCATCTTCATCTAAAGAGCTCAGAGCCTGTGGAAATACAGAAGGCTGCTTTCAGAATAAAACTTCCATCTGGTAACATACCTTAGAGTAAAAGCAATTTGGTCTCAAATTTGAAATTCATTCATTATTTATCAGAAGCAATTTTTACTGACACAGTTCTAGAGTTGCCGTCAGAATTTAAAAGCTGGTTATTGTGACATTAGCAATTGTTCAGCAATACTTACCGGTGTGAATGTATAATTTTCTTGTCCTAGATTCTCCCTTTCTCATTGAAGAATTACAAAAATTTGCAGAGAAAAAAAATGATACAGAAAAGCAGAGCACAGGAAGGCAAGCAAAGCAGAGAGAATGGAAAAGAGATTAGGAGAGATACCTGAAGAGAATCCTGATTTTCAGAGCGACTGACAGGGGTATAGTCATGAAGCGAAGAGCTGTGCAGAATACCCATAGAAGCTGAACTCACCATGGAGGTGCCGTGTCTTCTACTACTGCCACCTTCTTGGGTGTCTGTTTGGGTAATTGAAACAAAAACATTTAAAGAACAAGTAGGAAAAGCCTTCTTGACTCCTCTACTTCTCATTTGGGATTCCAGCTGGGTAATTTTACTCCTTTATTCGCTCTGAAATAAACAGCCTAAAACATTCCTTCCACATCAACTCTTACACGGTGGCAAAACACCAATTCCACTATTTTAGGATGGACTGCCTGGTTCATTTGTGCTTTTCTGCTCTCGGTAGCACTCTTCCTCTCCTTGAAAGACTGGCACATGCTCTCATTAGCACGCGCCCATTGGCGAGAAGGGCAAATTGCTTCAAAGGCACATAGATGAGTTACGGAAAATTCTACACATTTTTCTATGGAAAAATAGTACACATGGCCTCTCTGCCCTATTTGCGTTCTGGATCTCCCTCTCTCATTCTGTCATTCATCACGATCTGGCTCTTTACGATGCTCTTTATGGAAAATGCTGCCAGAACGTCCTCAGCCCCAAGTGAGGGATTGGATTTGTCCTTTTGTGCTCGCCTGTCGCTTTGTGTCCTCAAGCACACCCGATTTTCGGTGCCTTTCTTCTATTAGTTACGTTGTCTTGTAAGATACTGTGGAAATTCAGTGTGATTTAGAGCTTCAGACTCACTTAAGACACCATATGTGATGCATTTACAAGTGGCTTAAAACAAATTTGGCCCATTTCTCTGTTCTTGCAAAGATGACAGCTCAGCTGTAATGTTAACATTTCACTGATTTTTACCTTGACACTGCAATACAATTAAGAGTTATCAGTGTTTGTCTCAGCAATCAATGATATTACTGTTCTCTTAAAAACCCAACAAAACAATAGAAGTAAAGTGCTGTTTCCAGAAAAACTTACTCTGTAATGAGAAGAAATGTAATTCTTTTGACTTTGGAAAACAAGATTTTTCACTTCAAAACTCAAAATGAAATAAAGTCTGACTAACTCGGTTAAAACGAATCCTGTGGCCAAAGTAAAGTTTTCTCTTGCATATGACACAGTGCCACGTTCATCTCTCTAACATCCAAGTGTTTAGCCAAGCTCTAGTCCTCAAACGAACAAAATGTTTTTGAATTTTACTTGCAATAGGGAAGGATCAAAGCTTAAGAAAATTATTTTCACTGTTTCAAAAAATAAAAAAGGCACTTGTTCATTTCTCCTTGGTAAAGGACTTCATTTTTAAAGAACAAGTTATGTTTAGGGCTTAAGTACATAAAACACGGAGATGAGAATTTGTGCAGCACAGCTGAGAGGCCGAGCACGCCACTGGCATCTATTTGAACTATTTTTGTACCTTTGCAAAAGCTCATGGCAGAACGGAGACAGCCCAGAGAGCCAAGGTGCAGTAACCTTAGGGAATGCCCTACCAGCTGCAGCATCGCTTAGACTAGCGGTGTGCTGGAAGTCACAGCCCTGTACCAGCTTGTTTACGGGTTGTCCTTGCCAAGACAGGAGTTTCTGAGCAATGCTTTGGAATACAGCCGTACGACGACCTTCCAGTATGCCTGCAGCAGGGGAACCCGCTTCTTCACTGCTTATGCGCAACTGCTCCTTTTACTTTGCGTAAAAGGGCTGGTATATAGACTAGATTGTCACACAGAGTACGTACTCTTCAAATTTTTTTCAGACAAACAAATCAGCTCTAAGTAGCTGAGGAGTAGTTAGAAGGAAGATAAACGCATTGCTCCTTAAAAAGAGGAGCAGCCACAGTGAAGTCAGCAACACTTTTAACATACACAAAAGAGGAAGAATAACATTGTATCCTGGAAAACAGAGCAAAGTATTTGAAACTACTTTGAAATATATCCATAGAAGAACAAACACTGTGGACTCTGCTAGCCAAGTAGAAAGGAAAGGCATTGGGAAGAAGAAAGGAAAAACAGCATGAAGGCAGGAGCATACCTAAGGTACTCTCACTAGGGTCATCAGGATCTGGAGTATTACTCAGCAGACTGTGCATGTCTCCACGTCGACGCTGCCTGTGCCTCCTCCGATACTGAAATTCAGCATATTCCTGCATAAACCAAAGGTTACAAAATACAGGGCAGCATGCAGTAATATTTTTCTGATGTAACAAGCACATTTTTTAAAAAAATGTGTGATTTTATAGGTTTATTATAAAATCACCTGCTCTCAGAAAAATAAATTGCAGGTTATATCATGCAATGCATTAAAAAAAAGACACCAGGTAACACTACATCTATAAAATAATGAACTGGCAAATAAAAATACTGGAGGTATTGCAGATACTTTAATACTTGCAATCTCCCTTTTTAAAGAATTTTTTGTTTAAAAGCTTTACATACATATTCACACATACACACACACACACACTTCTTTATAAATATATACACCTAATGATTTTAGAACATAAAAACAATTAATCTGAGTCAGGCCAATGGATTATTTCAGGCTCCTGTGGCCACCAATGGCCAGTACAACATACTGTTTGAAGGGTAGAGAAATGGAGCAGATATGTATGGGTACTTGTAATACTTTCCCAACCTCTAGGACACTACAGCTCAGGAACTTCTTAAGCCACAGCCGATACCCTTCTGCTGAACAGTCTTTGATGGATTTCTCTCTGATGAATTACAAGTCTCCTTTCCGTTTTTGCCTAACCGGAGTTGTTAATGAGCCACACCACAGAAATTTGAACTCTTGCAGGCTATAATTTCTCATCTTGTGTATATTCATCGGGGACATTTTACTTGACGTATTTATAGGAAAGACTCACTTTTGACTATGGCAGACTAATATCCCAAGGCTTTATTATCTTAATACTTTCAAATAAATATTTACATCTCCATACTTTGGCTAACATTAAGAGACTGATTTTATGCTTGAAGGCAAATGTGGCACTTTCCAGATGGAATTTTTGGTTACTACAGTTGACAGTGAATCTTGACTATGTAGGTATGATCTTTTGTTCATCTGAGTTATTTATTTACACAAGGCAATTAAAATATACACACGGGTACTAGCTCTTCAGAAAAGAATACTGCTATTTTCTTCCCTAAACCCCAGGTTGGGAGACCTGTAATACAAGACTTCCTTTAGCCAAATTCCTTGGGAAAGACAACATCACCATTAATGTGCCTTTTGTACATCTGTTCTATAAACATTATCCCAGAATACCTCAACATCTAAAATACCTAAATTTTAAATCAAGAAGTGTCATTTCTCATGCACAATGACCTTAATAATTTTAAGGGTATTATTGTACGTTGTCTTTCTGTGAAGTTTTTCAGACCAACTGCTCATTCGTTATGACATATGCAAGCCAAAAAAAGTTGTTACAAAATGATCAGTGTGGGCAGATTTTTGTCTATATAAGAAGATCCATTAACATTATAAGAACGTAAAAATCACTCTACTACACCAGACAAAAGGTTCATTTAGCCCAATATTCTGTCTCCAGCAGTAGTAGTAGATGCATGTTGGCCTAGGGAACAGCATAAAAACAGGGCAAGCATGAAATGACTGTTCCCCAAATATTCTTCCAGGCCCCAGGGAGCTTTGGGATTCCTAAACTGAAGGTTACCACTATTTTGTGTTACTAACCTCCCCTACCCCCCAAACAACAGCAACAAAATCAAACCTTGGTATGAAACAATATGACTGAATTAGTTTAAAAATATATCACTATGAATCAGATAAGGAATGATGAAAAACAAACACTAAGATTTATAAATCATATCAGTTCTTGTCTTTCATCTGTTTTGCAATAAAATCATAGATTTTGCCAGTAGCCATGTAACAATGCATTTGGCTGTTTTTTACGCTTTAGATAGTCATCTTGACTACTCCTGAAACAATTTTATTTCTGATTACTTGGAAAGATTTTATACATTTGATCAGAGCAAGTTTTAACTTTGTTGGGTAGAAGTACAGAAATTTCACACAATAGCTTATAACAAGCAGTGCGCTTTGCTAAAAACAGTTAAGATTTTGCTTTCTGTGACAATCTGGTATACACAGATATTCTACTGCTTGTCAGTAAAAGTACACCTCTATGTCAAAAACGTGTAGTGAAATTCACTACAAACAAACAAGGATGACCACTATTAATTCTACAAAATTCCTTTAGCATAGGTGGTTGCAAGTATCTTTCATAACTATGTAGCAAAGAAGCCAACCTGCATTAGACAACGCTCATTCAGGCAAATAATAAAAAACTCATAAGCCATCATCTTAGCATAACTGCGATGGTACCTACTGCTAAATAGCGTATCAGCATATTGCTTATCAGCTTTTTCTCATAACCAGTTCCACTGATGACACAGTAGCATCACGATTTGATATTATAAAACACGGAATTATTTAAAAACAAAAGACTAAAGGAACTAGACAGGAGAAGCAAGCTGATTTTTTGTGGAGAAGCAAGCTATTTTCTCACCAGCATGATGATGCTAGCCAACAACAATAGCAAAGGAAATATATAGAGAGAGTACATAGAGTTTTCCAGGATGTTTTAAAATGACTAGCTAGAAAGAAAGCAGCAACAAGGAAATGTTAAGATGAAGTTTCCTTCCTAACGCTATGCTGTAATCGAATGATCTCAAAATATTAAATAAAATACTATGATGATAAGGGAAAGCTTCATAGGAAGCTTCTCATATCTTAGTGCTTTCTTGAAAATGATATACTCGTTTCCTGTAAACAGACTGTAGAATATTCATTTTAAAAATTACAATTTTCATTCATGCTTTAGTTAGCGGAGGTTCATCTTTGGTACGCGTACCTGATTTCCATCCTGCTTTAATACATTAAAAAAGAACATTTCAAGTGGTTAACAGTATTTCATTGTATGCCTGTATATTTTTGTTGGACTGTTATGAAAGGATGGAAATTTCTTTGACCTTTTATTGAATTTTGCTGGACTGATGTTGCATTCAAAAGTAATCTACACAGTTGCATATATTTATTACTTTAAGATTCCCCAGCATGTAGACACCAGCTTATACACAACTTTAAAATTGGTTTTGAAGTTGGAAAACATTTAATACAAAGCAGCTCACCTAATGCCATCTGAAATAACTATATCCATATTTAGAATCATTGTTTAGAGTTATTGCACAATTAGCTATGCATATATTTCCTTCTATTGTGAAATAAATAAAATGGCTTAAGCTAAATATTGCCAACTTGATGTGCTTTGAATCAAAATAAGGAAGCTCTTCATGCGGATTACGATCATACCTATATTTCTATGCAGAGCTAAATTAACAATTTAAAAAAGAAATAGTTTACCTCAGGGGATGCAAATCCTAAATACTCCCAATCCCACGTTCCACCAGCAAAGCTGTAAAATTAAAGGAGATATACCGTAACATTTGTAAGTAGAATAAAGTACGAACAACCTACACAGCTTCAAAACACATCAACCTATAAAAAGTAGTGCAATTGTAAGTCTCTCAAGTTAACAAGTCTTCCGCTTTAATTCTTACCTTAAAACTCATTAAGGAAACCATACAATTAAACTGTTGGCAGTTCCAGAACTGCTTGATATTTTTAGCAAACGCTTATAGATTTTCTGAGCGTGCCAGGTGCTTGGTGACAATCTTGAAGTATACAAGTGAAATGGAAGCCACAACGTCTAATCAGTAATATATCACAAATGGGGAAGCAATTTATATGGGGAAGCTGCAATATAGAGAGCAGTGATTCTCAACACTCCGTTCACAAAGGTTACCATTTGGATAGCTGAAGTCAAAATACAAGGGGCAAAACCAACAAGTTTTCAAATTATGACTGCACACAGAACCCCTGGTAAACGTGTCCTGTCCTTAGGGTGTCCTGCATACCTGCTGCCATGGAAAAGGTGGCGACAGCAGGATAGTCCAGATAAGTAACTGAGTTGTAAATTCTTTATCATTTAAAGTAGTAACAGTGGAGTTTGCAAACTGACATGTATTTCTCTGTTGAAAGAAAACGGACAGTCAGTTTTAGGTTTTTAACTTGTTACCATGAAAGATGTAAGTATGATTTAGTGGTAAGTCACATACAGTCACACCAAATCAATAGCAGCTTCATGTAGTCTAAAATATAACTGCAATAAAACAGTAGTGAAACACTGCTGCTCAATTTGTTCAGCTATCACTTTAAGGGTTTCTTTAACATATGTTTTTTTTTTTTTTTTTACTTAAATGCCGATTTCAAATCACACTACTTGTTAGCTGACCAGGTACCAACACTGCTTTATACAGTGAACCTGATTCTGTAAGTGCCAAGGAAGTGAAAAAAAGTCTGAGCCTCTCTAAGCTAAACAGGCCCCTGCTGCTTTCAGTACTCACAAAGACCATTCTTGGTCTTGGGTTTTGATGCAATTTTAAAAGCCAGCAGAGGTGTCTCATTTGCAGTTTTCTCAACAAAGGGAGGTGGATTAACAGCACGTGTGCATTTGAGTCTGTGAAAAGTCATAATTCCGCATGGATCGAATGACCAAGAAAACATCACTCTGGTGATTTACAGCCACCAAGTTGATCAGCTCCACTTGACCTCACTGTCAAAGGATGAGAGTAGGTAGGTGGATTCATCCACTTTGACAGCTATCAAACGAACATCTTTGAGTTGCATACTATTTTGCTTGGATTACCTGCGCCTTGGTGCTTCTGGTGAGTCTGCGGGAGCAACACCACGGGCCACCGAGGCTAAAAATTCTTGCCGCTTCTGCTGCACAAGACAAGCTGCTCGGATGATTTTATGGCGAGGAGTCCGAAGATAAGGCCTGTTCACTTTCTGTGCAAGGTCTTCAGTGACCATTTCTAAGTCTGTCTGCAGGAGTTAATAAGTAAAGAATAAAACAACTCTCCAGTGAAGTTAACAGCAGGCAGAACTCCACCATAAACACTGAACTGAATGATTTCCGTTTTCCTGAAAATATCGTCCAGCAGGAGGCCCTTGAAACACCAGCTCTCAAATAATTACTATTAGAATTGTTATGACTACAGAAATGACATACTGAGAATCTGCTTAGCAGGATGACCTGTAAGAGCTTGTTTTCGGCTTCTCCCCCTGTTCTTTGATACAAAGTTAGCTGGAAGCAGGAATCACCTTTTTATTCAGCGTTCAGTACTTTGTCTAACACAACAGCCTTGATTCATCAGTAAGACTTAGAGCTAGGTAACGACCACGCCAGGCCCTGAAGTGCTCAGTGCACACCTAGAAGCCTGCTCCAGCAGCCCGGCAACTTTACTGCTTTTCTCATCTTTCCTGTGCTGATTTGGCCTTGGCTCCATCCTATCCCATATGTAGATGCACACTCAAACTCCTGCTCTCTGAATTCTAGTTCCCTAGTTCCTCTGAGTGTAACAAGCCACATCACCCATTCGCCGCCCCAGAATACCTGCCCTTCTAGCCTATCCCTTTACCGACCTGACTTCTGCCCTCCCACTTGGAGTAGAGTTCCCTGCACACACGCATGCATCACACAGGTTCAGCGCCCTACGGGAAGGAAGGAGGCAGCAGCGCCCTGCCCAGCCCAGATCATGCCATCACCACAGAGGTACTCTCCATTTCTTGCCCCCCGCTCATGTGTCAGACACGTTAGCAGGGAAAAAACAGGAGAGAAAAGTTGGGAAAGGAGATAAAGATTGCATGCCGTTATTCTAGGGCTAAGAATAACCCCTGCCCCGCCACTGCAGGCCACTCTGCAGTCTGAGAGATGTAAGTATTGCTGCTTGCTACTTGCTAGGAGCCAGGGGAAGAGCTCTTTGTGGAAAGCATCTTTTGTCTTTGGGCTATGAGGCTGGTTCAGAACGAGAATTCAGCTGAAATGTTACCTTCCGAAAATGAGGATAACAGTAAATAGTTTTCCTCTTTTTTCCTCATCCACCTGTCCCTTTCCCTCCTCCTCCTGCAGCAAAGTGTATTTTAATTCACTCTAAGATTGAACTAAAAGCTACTGTCTTATAGAATAAAAATGCATTTATTTCCAAACTTGGTTATAAACACAAGGCATATCAGTCTTACACTACAAAAACCACAAGGTGACACAGAAAACTAATACTTCCAAAAAAGTGACACTATAAAAGCAACATATATGCATTTATTACCTGCATAAGTTCAAATATTTCTTTCTTTGTGCTTTTAGGCTCCAAAAAGAATCCATATGGATAAGAACACTTGAGAATGCGGCGAGTTTTTAGAAGCTCTTGTACAGCATCTTCAATGAATGTGGTATCAGGACAGCCTCCCTCAGCTGTAAGGTGATGATATTATAAGCACTGTGAGAGTCTTTTCCTGCTGATGTCAGTATTTCTTTTACTGTAAGAGTTTTCCTCCAAAATAGTGAAATTTATGTGCATGTCAGTTAAATATTTTGCAAGGATACAATATCAGGTTCTAAACGATTATGCAGTGTTCTTAATTATAAGAAACAAGCCCAGAATATTAGCTTCTCTCTTACTAATGCTGTTTTTCCTGTGTCTTTAGAGACATAAAATTTACCCTACAAACTACATTTAGCTTTTATCCACAACCTTTGAGTTCCAGTGCTAGAGAGATCACATCACACAGCAGACTGAAATCAGCTCTATCCAAAAGAAGGTTCAGCTATAACAGATTTTATTTGATTTCAAATCAAATTCACAGATTATGGCAAATACTAACAAGTTCAACTTACTTCCACTGAGCGCTCTACTCAACTGCTCCATCTTTTCTTTGGCTGTTTTTAGAAGGCGCTGTTCTAACTAAAGCAAGAAAATAAATGAAACACTAAGTTAATTATTTTGGGATGAATGAAATGGAAAAATTAGTAAAAATGGCTTGACCCACACCTGGTAGCTAAGTTCATGGTTCTTAAACCTTGTGTAATAGTGCATAAACCTATCAAGCTCTTGAAATCTTCTGTGTTTCTTTTCAGCCTAGAAAATAAGAGGTGAGAAAGAAAACAAAACGAAACCAGATAAATCTTATGGTTTAATTTAACAAACATCATTACATATAATTAGATAACTAACTGTGTCTGTTGCCACGATACATAAAGCATTATATCCAATGCTAATGAGTACCATGTAAGAAAACAGACAAATGCAATTTTTGAAAAAAAAAAATTTAAGTCTGCAAATACTATAGCTACAAGGTTAATATGCTGTGCATGCATGCTACTTTTAAGCAGACTTTCCCAATGCCAAGGTTAAGACAAGTCTTCTGTAAGGCACAGTAACTAATTGAAGTACCAGAACGCCCATTCTACAGAAGGAAACCATGGCACAGAGAAGTAAAATGACTTGTCTAAATTCAGCTAGCGGTTGTTAAAAAAGCCCACAACAGAATGATATCTTATGCTGTTACCCACAAATAAGCAGTGTTTTCATTTCGTCTCTTCAATATATTCACAACGATATTTTCCCATTTAAAACTCCCATTTAAAATTGGGAAGAATTTTATGCAACCCATCTTAAATAGAAAATGGCAACCTTTGTGCTGTTTTTAAAACAAATATTTTCATCTGTTACCTCTACTGTCATCTCTTTGGACTGTTCCTCTACGTGTTGAATAACTTCATAGCGAGTGCATCTGTAATAGCCTCCAGTGGAAGAGCTGTGCTTCTTCCATTCTTCTAAGCATATCCAGCAAAAGTCATATTTGCACTTTAGAAGAGAAAGAACAAGAGGAAAAAAAGAAGCTGATACATTGTAGATTCGCAGATAGGCATCATTATTCTACCATAAACAACTGAAGGGTTAACATCATCCTGAGTGTGTTTAGGGCAAAAATGAAACGTTTGAGGAGGCTTTACATACTACAGAAGATCTGTGGTATCAAATCATGTCAGTCATAATTTTTGTTCCTCAGATCACAGTATTGTGTTGGATCTACAAGTTAAATTTCAAGTGGGTGGAATATATCAAATGATAAATACATCTAGTTAGGTCTTTTTGGGGGGAGGGGTTTCTTTGCTGCTTGTTTTAAAAACAAGACAGTCCTGTTGTTTAAGTGACACAGAAACTGTTTATGAGAAAGGGCTGGCTTTAAGAAATTTCCTACCTTTAACGTGAGATGCAAAATTATCAGTAAGTTTAATTTCAATGTCATTAAAATGAAACAAATAATTTATACATAAATATGACTTTAAATGTTCCAAACTAAAACAAAACATTTCCATTATCAGAATGCAGTGTTTCAACTGACCTTACCTGAATTTTCTTCAGTTGTTGGTTCATGAAAAATGTTCAAGATTTTGACTCTCTTTCCAATTTGGAAAGCAGTGTTTTTCAGAATCTTAAATATTCTCCAGGTAGAAAAGAAGAGTTTTCCACTCAGTTCTAGTGCTGTCTGTACTGCGATCAGTATCAGCAGATTAAGAGAGATCCTTCTGAAATCTACTGTTTCCAGCTGCAAGACTGCTGATATCTTTGTAGTCAGTGAATGTGAACAAAGTGCTATGAGTTAATATCTGCTATGAGGTGAAAAGGGCACTTAAAACCTTAAAAACGCCCAACTAGCTTTATCTGTGGAACAACCAAAAACATTTCCTCTAAAGAAATGATAAAATTCAGGTCAAATCTCAGTCTTCTGTAATATTTTCCCTTCTCTTCTTTCTTAATATCAATTCAAGAAATGAGATTACTGGTATTTTAGCCATGCTTTTTTTCTAAAAAGCAATGCAGACTAGGGATATTTCTTCTTGCTGTTGTAGAGTACCTTCTTTGTTCGTAAACATTTTTTGGAGCTGCTCGCGTGTATGAAATGGTAGTATAAGAATAATCATGCATAAGAGACTAAAGCCTATATCACTGGGTAGTTTATCTGTCATTCAAAATCACTTACAACATATTTTTTGTAAGAAAAGAATCATAGCAAAAAAAGTTGCTCCATGAGCAACAAAACTGCTAAAAGCTTGATTTCCTATGAATTTGAATCTCATGCTTCTACTCTAATAATCCTACTTCTCCCAATTTATCTCCTCCAGGATCTCTCTACCCTATCTTCTAATCTCTCACCGCATCTCCAACAGCCTCCTCTGCAGCCCAGCATTCACCAACATTGACCCCAACACCAGACCCTCCTCCAATACCTCCAGTTTCCCCACTCTCTTTAAAGCCTCAGAAATACACCCGTCTATTTCCACATGTTTTCTCCCAAAACCCTGAGCTCTGTTTTATGTCCCCTAGCGGGCTGCTGGCCAGGGGGCCCCGCTGGCTTGGCTCCCGAATCTCACCTGTGCTGACCGGCCACTGGCTGAGCCAAGCAGAGAGGTAACCGCTGAGCGGGTATTTCAGCCCTCTCTTGGAGGCGGTACAAAGTAGCTCTCTGCACCAGATACCTACCAAGTCACATGACACTTGCAATAACTTTGTATCTCTGAAGCCTCTCCGGCTCTTTTTTATCTTGCTCAAAGTACCCAGAAGGTTAAAAACCTACCAGAGTGAGGAAAGTGCCAGACAGCAGGCTTGCATAAGCCTGGTTTCCTTGGAAACCAGGCTCATAAAACAGTACTGTGCCTGTCTAAATACACAAATGTGGTTTTATGTCTAAAGAGTATCCAAGGCATGTGCTAACTGAGGAGAGGCAGCTGCAGCTCTCTACGCTTCATGTGGTAGATTTGAGCAGAAGTTACTGCAGCACAGGCAGGAGCTTCGCATCTGAGCCGTCCTTTTGGGGGTGAAGAGACAGGAGAGAGGTCTGCTACACCTTGCACCTGAGCCCTGGAACGACCGTGAGGGGACCCGTCCCTCCCTTCTTCACCAGGCTGAGGGGAGGCAGCTTCTGTTTGCAGAGATTGCTCCTCCAGGAAAGGAATCTGGCTGTTCTAGGGCCACTTTGAAGCGTTTTACCATACAGGACCATATACTAAATTAAATTATCTATATTCTGCAGTGTTTAACGGCCAAAGTCTTTTCAGGCCTGAAGCCATACTTTCATTCTGTTGAGATGGGGTCAGTGGCAACAACGGCTGTCAGATAACTAACGAGATTGTTGTTACATCCCGCATCTGAATTCTTTCATTATTGGCCCCAGTGTAATTCTTCTATGAATAACTATTTCAAACACTCTTACCTCTGCTTATAGCCTGTAAAATTTCAGATTGTGCTGATCAACACACCTTGTACACTTGGTAGCGCTATGGAATTCGGGAGCTCTTCAAAAAATCATTTAGGAAGAAGAAAAAATAACCAGCAAGCTTGGCATAAGCCAAAGTAGAAGAGAATCTGTTCTCTGCTGCTACAAACAAACTCAAAGAAATTCCACCAAAAAAACAACAAAAAGCCCCTTCAATTTGTCCCACAGACAGAGAGAGAATATGTGATGATAATATAAAGAAAATGGGATCTGGACAGCAACGGAGAGAGACTGAAAAATTCCCAGAAAAAATAAAATTATTTTCTAAATCTCTCAGCTTTTTTATCAGAACCCAACTATGTCAAGTGTGTGCCTACTATATTCATTTTGATGAGATATTAGCTGTGCTTAAATAAGATATTTCTGAAATAAAGAGGTATACTAAATATGCAGCTTTTAACCTATTTGAGAGAATAAGCATCCTCAGATGATACTGAACTCATGGCAAAAAATATTTTTTCTATTTTGGTAGCACAGTGCCAAACTCATGACTAATTTTTTGGCTGCTGGCACCAATAAGTTTCTTTCGACATTACTGCTTTACTGTTTTTTCCTTCCTACTGATTAATTCCTTTTTACATTTTTCCATTTAAACTTCTCTGCTTTGTTGCTATGTTAGAGAAATAATGCAAAAAAACATGCCGTAAGGTAAAACCTTCATTAGGGCTTACCAGTCCTTAAAATGTATCATCTTCTGCCAACTACATAAGCTCTTTCTCTTCCAGAATATTAATAATGATGAAACTATCAATGATTTCTGTTTCCTTAAGTTTTTTACTGTATTGCCAGCAAGGCTTATGTGTTTATGAAATTTTGATCATCACGCTGTTCACTTGCCAACCAACCAGACTTCACTAAATATGAAACATTTTCAGAATACATGTAAAACACAATTTGCAAATTATGTATGATTCTTTCAATAGGTTCCATTCTCCCAACAGATCACAGGCATGAATTTCAGAGGTTTGGAATATCTGTGCTCATAAAATGTATATATGATGCGCACAACCTGAATTATGGTTTCAACTGTATGAAACAAATTATTTGAAAGAGCTTTCTTACCTTCGCACATTGCATGTGGTTGCAGCCCTCATTCTTTTGAATTGGAGATTTGCAGTTGGCGCATGGTTTGGAGTTAGTTAGTAACCACAGGCAGTTGGCAGCATCTTCATAAGCCTCACTAACTCCCACAACTTTATGAGGGTGACAGGAGGATACGAAGCATGAGAAAAGCACAGAAGTTAAAACTGTATTTGTGAACTCCTTTGTGAAAATCAGATTAGGAAAGAGAAATGTTTACTTAATTCTTGACAGAATATCGTAAGTCTTCACTATGTATATATATATATGTTTCTCATATGAAAAAAAAATATACATTTGCATCTATATGACATTATGCATATTACTTATACAGTGTAATATATTTTATTTGTATACATAGACTCATTTTATACACATGGCATATAATATAGCATACGCATAAGAAAAATATATAGGAGAAAAAGTGGCATAGTTTGACAAAATATGGTGTATTTTGCCTCTTTACATAATTTTCTATGCCTTACAAAAAAATGGATAACATATTATGGAAATGTTCTGAATCGTAACTAATTTATGTTAGCGTTTATTCCAATTACTGTTAATGTTTAATTATTTTGTTTCTGTTGAGCACTCCAATAAAACTTTTGTCTTGTGTAAACCCAAGTCTTAGTAGCTGTTTCACTAGAAGTTATTTAACATTAAGCCATTCCCCACAATTCCCTGCATAACTTATCCTGAACCTCACTATTTTTATCACCTCTTAGCTCAAAGTAGTTTAAAGCACACTTTAATAAACTGCATGGAGCACAATTCAAACAGAAGTGCTGACTGGGCTAAAAGGTTTAAAATTGACCAGGACAAATTAAATTAACATTATATTCAGGAATAAATCACATAAATTTACAAAAGAAAGCTGTAAGAGGAAGGGTAAAATGTTTTATATCTCCTGACTGATGTATACACAAATTTATGAGGACAGGCTGGGCAGGAGTGGTTTAAGGAGAACAGTCTACCATTAGTGATGCCTAATATGCCACATTTCCACATCAGCTGATGTGGTTAAAAGCCATGAAGCTGTGCAGCTCCTCATTTTCATGGAAGGGCTTCATTTTCTTCTCCTTTATCCTATTTTTTCAATAAATGTAGAGTTTTTACTTAATGCAGCTAAAAAAAAAAACCCCTCTAAAAACACAACAGAATTCAAAAACATGAGGAGCCATCAGGCATGACTCTTACGTTCTTCTGGCTTCATTTCAGATATTTTCTGTAGCCAGTCTTTCCAGGTTTGACAGTCACAAGGTTCATGTGCTTCACCAAGACATTCCCTGAAAAATAAGATGGATGGACAATAACTAATCTTTTATAGATTTAAAATTAAGGCCTATAGTAAGTTCTGTGTTGGTTCAAACTAAAAAACATGGAAACTAATCACAAAACACTCAAACTTTAATGAAATCTGGAAGATTAAAACTCATTCAATTAGCATTACTTTAAAATATTCGCAGATTACTTGCTCGCGAGCATACATTATTGTCACGAAGATTATTAAAGGATTTAAATGGGAAGGAAAAGAGCATTTTAAGATTACAATGGAAAATAAACAAACTGGTTTGTACTTTGAGTTACATCCAGCTCCTATCCTAGTGCCACAAAAAGTGCTAGCACCGTTTCTGTGCAAAACGTAAATATCAACTCAGAATAAAGGGATTATCCAAAACTAGGTAGTTCATTACAGCTGAGGTGCATTTTGTGTAGAATTATTTGTCCGTATTCTCTTGCAAGAATTAATCTTTAACTAGATTCAATCTTTTTGAGCCAGAACAAGATCTAAGTCCTTCAACCTGCATTAAGCGTTTGTGGATTTTCATTCTTTCCACCCAAATCTCTACTGAAATGTCTTTAGCTTAAGTTATATGGACGCAGGAGAGAAATGTCTCCCTTGAGTTTCTTAGAATTACTACTACTTTTAAAGATGGCAATCACTACTACACAGCAGCAGCTATATGGCTTCCAGATGGTGCTTGGGTGTAGATGTGTCAATATGGACTCCAGATTTGTAATGACTCCCTCTTTTACTGGAAAAGCAGCAAATAGCCTCAGCTGTCTGCCACATCAAACAAAAAAATTCACAGAGGAAGTATATTTCAGATGGGCACCAGCTGCATTGGAGCATACGCAAGTTTTCTGCAGACCAAATAAATGGTGAACTGCTTCCTGCAATGTAGTTTCAGAAGTCAAATCAGTATCCCTCTGATCACTCCTGTCCACATCTGAAACAGGAACACGTGAACAAAGAAAAGCTCAGCACAACTGTTTTTTAACCTATTATCCACTAACCAGTCTGCTATCAAACAAGTTTAAATTCACTGCACAAGGATCTGCAGCGCTACTTTGAAGATACTTAGGGTTCCACAGGTGGGCAAGTTTGTACTAGAGTGAATATCTTGCCTGTACTAAGAAAATCTCAACACTAGTTGAAAACTGCCACATTTCACTTCTGTAGGACAACAGTACACTTAAAACATCAACTTCAAGAGAGCCAAGACCTCTCACACAGTACACGTTCCCAGAGAGGACTGGAATTAGCTGGAAAATCTTAATGTTAATAAACTCAGTTTTAATTTAAAGGCTTGTTAGTCAATCTACTACAGGTCGGGGGGGGGGAGATGAATCTTCAATGTTTTTGAATTTTTGAACTTTTAGACAGACTAATTTATCCTCCTAAATTCTGAAAAAATTTCAGGACCTGGAAAGCAGAAAACTAAACACACTTTAGAGAATTTTAAAGAACAATACAGAAATAAAAAATGCATTTCTAGAATAGTACTGAGCCCCTTGCAAATCTTGCAGAAACTCAGAATACATAAGAAAGCTATGTTCCTTATATTGTAAGAGTTGAGCTCCCCTAGCTTAACTCAGATTGTATGAAAATAATTTCTAGGTTCCTGCAAGGGTAAAAGACTGATTTGTGTCCTTCAGGTTAGAGAAAAAAATAGCTCCCATTATTCTGAGTCTCCTTCCTTTCCCAGTAGAGCCTGCTGGAAATAAATGCCCAAATGTCTTGACCCTTGCAGTTTTGGGTCTGGACAGAAAGCAGGATTGTTAACGAAGCGCAATCTCACGATAGCCACAACAGGAACTTATACAACTTCTCCTGAAAGGGATTATTTCCCAGCCTACCCTAAAACAAGGATTTTTATACTGGGATGCCATTTTGATAGAGTAAGAGTGATAAGCTTACTGCTCAGAAAACTTTTCATGAAATAAATCTGTATTTTAAACAGAATCCATGAGAACACAGGATGAAGGGAACTAAAAACAAATGGCTATCATAATTAACAATGTTAGCATCTCCAAACTGCGTTCCTCCATAACCATCAGGATTTATTTGAAGGCGCAGTACGTACTTAATAAAATTGTAGCAAATTTCAGCTGCCATTTCCGGAAGAGGCTGAAAGCACAGCCCAAGAAGAACGTGTTTTTGTATTTTCTTTCCTCACTGACATTATTTGGATCATATAATGAATTTGCTATGAATCAAAATAGCAAAACACTGTTAAAACTCATAATCAGCTTCCCAAGTATTCCTGAAGAGATGCGTCTCACCCAGAATGAGACTCTCTCCCTCTAGGATAAAATGAGTGAGGAGTGAGGGTGCAGAACCAGGCGTGCAGTGCTTGCTAAATCCATTTTCCAGAAGACCTGTCTGCTTGCTGCAATTTCTTATGCTTCTGGAGCAGCATGAAGGGGTTCTAATAGAAAGAATCTAGCTGATAATACACAGATGTTAAGATTTGTGCACTGTTCTCATTTGCCCTGCATTTAAATCACTCACAACGATTTTTCTGAAAGGGAATGGAATCAAGAATTAGATAGAATGAGAAGAATTTGTCATAAGACAAATATCTTTGTCATAAGAAATTAGACTTTCTTTAAGGCACTGTTAGTGGTGAGTTACGAAAAATGAGTAAATTCAAAGGAACTTAGGAGGAACATTCCTACTTGCACATAAAAAAAAGGGAAACTTGGCTCATCAGAGCCAGAGAATTCTCTTACTTCTGTGAGCAGGAAGGCTGCAGATCCCATAAAAGGAAATTCCACGGTGACAAAACCTCATGGATAGTCCCTTACTAAGCAACAGTAAGTATGTATCTAGGGGTTGGCTGTTTTTTTTTTTGACAGATACACTCTGAAAAAATTCTTTCACTAAATGCAGTATCAGTTGACATTGTAAAGTCCAATCTGTAGATTACATGGGTAAAACTTGCAGAAGTGACAGAAAGCTGGAAACGTGGGATGTGCTGACTTAAGTTAAACGATATAAAGTAACCTTCCTTTAAGCATGCAGTAATGATGAAAACCCTCTGAACTGAGAACATACTTTCTTTTTCTGCAGAGGAACTCTTTCTATCATGCATAGGGTTTTGTACTGTAAGACTAATATGACCATCCTCAGCAAATGGTTCTGATTTATAGTACCGCAGAAGGCTTTAGCCGTGAGGAGAACTTTCTTGATATTGCTGAAAGTCTTCATTCACTTTTGTGGGGATTAAAAAAAGGCCTTGGAAAGGACTTCTTCGATATTTTCTTGATGGAGTGAGGGTGGTTTTTTTTTTTTTTTTTAAGATCTTAACCATATTTGATTGTGCTATATCTCAAAGCCTTCACACACAAAAACATCAGAAATATTATCAGGAAACAGCGAGACATTCCTCATCAAAATTATGCACTCTGTGGACATTTTCACATTCAGAGGACGTTGTGGGGAGCTAGTACATTCAGCCAACGCAAAGGGAGCAGGGGCTGCCAGTGTTTAAAGGACCACCTTGATATATTACACAAGACTGGTCTCAGCTCTGTACTTCAGGTTAATGGAAAAACTGCTTCTCTCTCTCTCAGGAGACCAGCACTCGTAAGCGAGGATGAGAGGGTGGTACTGCTTGTGGATGGCACAAAGGTTTGTTATACGTTCACAGATACAAACTTTTTCTTGTTTGTTCCCAATGGGATTTTTTTCTGAGTTCTCCAAACACTGTTAACAATATCTTTCCAAGAGGTTTTGCGTGAAGTTCCATTTTCTGGCTTTCTTGGCTGTTTCATTATGCCGACTTTCCTCCTTGTTCCCCAGATGATGGGGAAAGAAATAAAATCAGAAGTTTCTCTCATTAACGGTTTTAAAATATTGGAATCTAGCAGGTTATTCAGGATCTCTTCTTCTTGGATCATTGCTTCACTTGAGAAATGCCGCATCCCGGAAAAAAAGAATTACTCAATTTGTCTGAACATCTGTATTTTGGTTGATCATTTTTGATTTTCCAGGAGGGAGAAGGACGTCCCACTTCCAGAGCAGAATAGTCTTAAATCACCAGTCTGATAATCTCACGGAACTAGGACAGGGCTTACTCCAGACTTCAGAACTATCTCCCCCTGCTTTGTTTTATTATTTTTGTTGTCCTCTCCATAGAACAACTGAGGATATAGAGTTTTGGCAGTCTTTGAGGGATGGTTTCTTAGATCTCTTAAGCCTGTATATTCCTTCTAGAGCTTGCACTGAATTTAAGACTCAGTAGAGGATAATGTAAAGAGAAAGTGCTGGTCCGAAAGTGAAACAAGGATTGGAGTGATCAGGCAAACAAAACTAGCCATGTATGGAGCAAATGATCTGGCATAGTCCTTAAACTTCGGCTTTTCTGATGCGTCCACTATAATTCTGACAGAGCCAAAAATTCCAGATTTTCTGTGCTATAATGCAGGACGGGCCACGTGTGTTTCAATCACACTATAACCGTCCAGAAGAGACACAAAAAAATCTCTCTACCAACACCCTGCTTCTCTCCCTGCCCCTTCAGAACCGAAAATCATAACACTTCATGCAGCTGTTTTGCATTTAACAGAATTAATAATGAAAGGGAATAGACAACATTATAACTCTTTGTTGTGCCCGAAAATACCAACATATTTGTGCCCTCTAGGTTATTTAATGCATGGATACAGGATGGTATAGTCGTATGTCATCCTGTGCAAACTGTTGTTGCATGCTTGGTGCTAAGTGTGACTTTTTATTAATACCTAGAATAGCAGTGGCTATGAGTTTATGTAGACATAGATAAGCCTCTAGTACTAACCAGCAAAAAAGATGTCCTTTTCCACAGTCTACAGCAGGGGCTTTTAGCATAGGGAAGCTGAGTGCATCTGATCCTGTTGAATTTGATCCTTGTCTTGTTAGCCTTACTGCTCTTTCGCAGGCTGGTATAGGACACCACTTAATAGCAGGATTGTTTTCAACAAAGGCCTTAAAAAAATTAAAAGAGAATGATTTAACATATAAGAACACATTTCATCATTGATACAGAACCATTTGTGATCATAATCTTCCTCTGAGGGAACAAAGCCAAAGAGCGTAAAACAATCTTAAAATTACTTTGGTATGCTTTTAAAAATAGTTACAAAAAGAGAATGATTTAATCTCCATTTTATAATGGCATTTCTTTGCTATACTCATGCCCAAGACTTACGCTAAGAACAAAACGATTTGTAACCCCTACGAAATGTTCCATGTGTGCAAGTCAATTCCTTTGTGACACAACTTACTCTAAACCTCTACTATATATGCATTGGCAATATATTCATTAACAGAATCTGAAATTTTGACTCCTGTAGTTGAAAAGAAGTAAAATCTTACTGATCAAAAGAACCCATACAATCAACTGCAAACTTGGAATTAGAATTATATTCAATCAGAAATTCGCCTCCAAAACTGTATTTGTTAATGTAGCAGGTCTTATTTCATGAAACTTGCATCAAATAACGAGGAGGAAAAGGAACTTTCACTAATTCCCTTTAAAACTATGCCAATCACAAGCCACTTAAAAGATGGAAGATGTAAAAGATACTGAAACAGATCTGGTCATTTCCATCTTACTGTGTACGGCTTTGTTACTGTGTATTAGAGAGGCTTGTCACACACAGGAAGTATTATATTGTATCGCAAAGGAAAATGCGTTTCCCTGCTTTCTTTTGTCCTGCCACCACTGATAACGCAGCATTATCATTTCAAAGACTAGCCTGTTACTACGTTCAGTAGTAAGAAAAGCTTAATTAAAAGATTGCTTTTTAAAATAAGTTGCAACAATGGAAATCAACATTTTTAAAATAATCAGGAAAATCAAATCAAGATTTTCCAACTTCTTTTCCTATACATAGCAATCATACCAAGCACTGGACGGAAAAAGAATTCTAAGTCATTCAGCTGTGGCAATATTTTTCCAAAATGGGAAACTGCAAACATTTGTAAATGAAATCAGTCTCTTAATAATAAAAAACATTCAAAAACTCTTTAAAAAAACTTTAGTTTGTCAACATGAAAAAGTCTGACAGACTAAAAGCTTCATATCACCTGTTTGTTATGCACATTAGCTTGATCAAAAATTTTATTAATGCTACATGAGATTACACATTATGGAAGTACTGAATTTGTACTTGAGGAATAAATATAAGGGCCATTCTTTTTTTTTGGTGCTATCTCAAGTAGTCATATTGTGGTACGTAAGACAGTCAATAATTCAGTGCATGTATTCATTTGTTCATTTCTACCTGGAAAGTTATAGACATATTGCAGCGTTTTACACAGAAGCTGCATGACATTTATAGTAAAATGAAATACATCTCAAAAATATAGAAACAGTTTGATAATTTACCTTAATGTCAAACTGTAGGTATCTTTTGTCCATCTCCTTGGAAACCACACTTTCTATGATGTCTACTGGCACAAGCTGGAAACAGTCATATGCTGGGCAAAAAATGTTGTGAGCTTCACCCTCCTGAATTTTCAGATTCAAAAATCTGCCAGAATTTTGTCAGTCAGTATTTGTGAATAAAAAGTAAAAATCAAGAGGCTGCCAAATACTATTTTTATATTTATACAAAGTTCACAGACATTCAAATTAATCGATCTTAAACAAAGAATAGGACATATCCCTTTTAGCCTAAAAATGCCACATATTTGAGGCAAAGCATGGTTAAAAAAAATAAGAGAACGCTATCACAGTTCAAAGGTGAGCTCCAACAACTATGCTTAACCCTATATACTTGTGGTTTTCACCTTTGCCATTTATGAGAGACTGCTATGCAATGTTTAGTCAAACTGAGCATTAGTTCTAACTTACATCTGAAACGGAACATATAACTGTAATTAATGCAGAAAATACTTAATTAGACATGCAATTAATTTTTACAGCTGTGCTAGTCAAAATAGCTTTGCTCTTGGAAACAGATTTCTAGGAGGAGGCCTTCATAGTCCCCAGCCGCTAGCAGAATGCAAGCTAGAACACGCTCAGAAATCTGCTGAGAGCTGGACTTAAACTTTAAACTCACAGTGCACAGGGTTGCTTAGTCTAAAGGCTATAATCTACTTATTAATCTGACATCAAAAATGACATTCATTTTATCTAGCTTCCATCAGCTAAAGGACAGGCATCTGTTCTAAGTTAGTCATCTGGGGCCCTTTAACAGGTAAGGCAGAGAGACTTGCCAATTCATCCCGCTTTAGATTCAGACCTTAGAATGGGATGACTCACTCCTGGCTACCCGCTGAGCAACTTAGCTCAGAAAGACGAAATCTCACCTGAATCCCACCCTAGCCCTAGGGAGGCCACCAGAAACACTCGCTGACATTGCACTGCAGCCCTGAGCGCGTGCACAAATCACAGTACACATAGTCCAGAACCCAAACTAGAAGCTCCATGTCAAGCCAGCGATCTCTTAGTAACTTCCAAACCTTTGCAGAACAATTTACAGGACAACAGAAGCTTGGCTATTAATTTTCTGAGCACCTAACAATTGTCTTTTAAAAGCACATGTGGAAAAAGTGCTCTTCCTTAACATGGAAGGAATGAGTTTATTTAAATTAGGCTAATCTGCAGAAGGACTAGCTGTGCTACAGTGGTACAATTCAAGCTGTACAATCTTTTGAACGGGAACAAATATGAATGCAAAGATGTATGCAGATACAATTATTCCTGAGGAAACAGAAATATGATTGATATTTATACGAGTATAATTGTCCATGCTTGAGCTTTTATTAGTGTGATTATTTTAGCTTTTAAAAAAAAATTGTATGCTAACCAGAGAGTTATACTAATAAAATTTTTAAGCTCATGCTACTCTTCAATTATTAAGCCTCACTGTAAGAATGCATTTTAATTGTTTTGCTGACTGGAAATGGACTTAAGATGCCTAAGTTTAGTGTGCTAAAGCACGTGCCTCATTTAGAAACTGTAACACCTCCACCCCACCCCCCAGCAAACCAAGAGCAGGCTCTTCTATTTACACGCAAGCTGAAAATACAAGCTTAATAGCATCGCTGAGTCAGGACCAAAACAATCATTATGTAAGCCTAAAACAGTTGATAGTCACTTTGAACGACAACTTAAATATTCAATAATATCAAAACAGCACCTCTGTGAAACCCAAATAGTACTTTCACATTAGGTGCTTATTGTCCATGGCCTTTCCTCTTCAAAATGGGAAGTAAAAACATTTCGCAAAAGATACAGAAGTACATATACTCACGCCTCCCAGCAGGCTCTGCAGAAGTCATGCCCACAAGGCATATCCACTGGGTCTTCAAATACAGAAATATTACACATACAAATGTCACACTGTAGATAAAAAAAACCCAAACTTCTGATTAAGAAATATCCTAAAATATCCTAAAACTTTCATATTGTTAGCAGTATACATTACGTTGGAAAATTCAAGCAAAAACGTGATCAGAAGGAAAGTGTTATTTAGGCTATTAAAATAAAAATGGGAAAGATTTAGATATTTCTCTTTTTGTATCCTCCCTATCCACACGGTACATTTTGGGGTGCCGGCTTCTATGTCTTCCAGCTCAGCAAGTGCTTCATCCCACAGGGCGGTGAGACCTCTGAGCTAGAGCTCGAAGGGCAAAAGGGACCAGAATTTTTCATCGACTTCACAGGCAGCCAGAAATGGAGTTTGGAGACAAAGTCTACAGAAAATATTTAGCATCTCACACAACCAGGCCCAAACCAAGGCAGAACAATTGGGCTGTGCAATAGCAGCAATTGTTTTAAGTAATAATTTACATGTATGCTATTTTTTTTTTTAATAAGGTGAGACTTTCAATACAAACACAAAATGCGTTAAGCTAAAACTAATTCAGCAGAAGTTAAGATGCCTCCACTGAATTTTATACATCTAGTAACTATAGAAAAAATAACATTGAATGCTGATGCTCTTACCCTGCAAACATTAAAATAGTTGAGAAGAAATTACTCAGTGCTTGTGGTTAGGCATGAGTGTAAATATTTCTTAAAGGAGTACAAACGGATTTTTTTTTTTTCCAGTGGAAAGAGTCCACAAAAATTTACTTCAAATTTCAACATATTAGTTATTACACACACAGAGGACAAAACATTTTCAAAAGTTAGCCTATGGTATGCCATAAAAGCATACCTTTTTTAAAAAGTGCTTGTGCTACAGCAGAAGCAAAAACAAAACCAAAAAAACTTGACTTTAAATTGCAAAACTTGATGAAGGCATTTCCTGCTGTTTCAGTCATTTCATCTCACTATCTTGCTAAAGTTAACTATTTTAGAGGTTGATAATGCATCAAAAATGTTCACTATTACGTGTGTATCAACTTTCAATATTGTTTAAAACTTAGCTTTCATGAAATGAAACTGAAGCCCTGGGTCTGTCTTTATCGAAAAGATCATCTTAAAAGTGAAATGCCTTGATAAAAATAACACAAAGTAAAATCTTAAATCTCTGTACAATTAAACAAGCAGAAAATCAAGTGTAGAACATTTACTGGAACAGTAAATATAAGATAAGATGGAAACCAGCAAAATCTGAAAATGAGTTTTGTAGCTTATGCTTTGCTTTTTAAAATTCCTCTTATTTTTCATTTGCCTGCCAAAATGAATGGCGTTAGAAATATATGTGTTACTTGATAAACACTGTTTTGAAAACATTACTTTGATACCTTTGTGTAAGATTTTTATGAAAACAAGAATATTATACGTGTAACTCTGGATCTGGATTTAGATACCACAGATCCAGAACTACAGTCGCTACCACTAGCCTGCAGTCCCGGCTTAAGACCCATCACCGAAAAATAAAACATACAATATAAAACCGAATACCCGTAACCTTACATTACACGTTTTAATTAGGGAATATTCCCAGACAATTTTTCTCTCCTAAAGTAAATAAAATATATAATAACACTATTCCATATGGCTTCTTTTTTAGCATTTTATAGGTAGAGGGAAAAAAAGGCTTCTACGCAGGAATGAAAAATTTTTATTTTAACGTGATATCCAGGGATGATCCATTTATATTCTAGAAAAATGCTTAGGTCATGGAGAAAGAGTTTTATAATGCCGCAGCTGTGGACTATTAAAAAGAGAACTCTGTTTTCCAAAAGAACCACACTGATTTTAATGAAAGGCGCTTTCATATTTCAAATTTGCAATAGCCTTGTAAACTGCTTGAAGCAGCCCACACATACTAAAAGTAATTACAATCTTACAGTACACTAGTGGGCTGACATTTCAAAATGCAGACAAAGAAAATTTTGTTTTCTAATGAAAAAATTTTTAAAAGGCAGGGTTCGCAGCATTCAGTACATTTGGGGAAAAGGATACAATAGAAGAGAACATCTTGATAAGAGGCTTTAAAAGAAAGCTCAGAAGAGCCAAATGCACTGATGTGATTGTATCTGGATAAAATCCTACTTTGTGAGTGGCAGGCAAGGTGAAAACAGTGCTTTGTATTGGCCACATGCTCAACTGTCTGATTATATAGCATGTTTAAGGTGAAAACTTCCCTGTTCATCACTTTTGCAAACAAAAGTGCTCTACAAAGTTATTTTCCAAAAAAACAACAACAAAAGTCAGGGTAGCTCTTCTGTCTGCGTAGGTGTACATATGTTTAGAAATAAACTCTTCTCCCTGTCAGTTGAGACCTATTTATAAACTTACCACAGCTGTCTCAATGTCTCCTGGTGATGGGCTGATTTCATCTGGGGAAGTTACAGAGGAGCGAGTGGTGCGCGGGGTCCGCGGAGAAGGGAGCGTGTCCCACGCGTTGTAGCCACTTGGAGGTGGCGTTGGCATCTGAACCCCTGAACGCTGGCAGCAGTTCTCTGGATTAGACATCCATGCTTCAAGTAACTTCTCTCTGTCCCAATCTTCAATAAATATATAGATACAGGAAATCAGGCAGCTGACATTGCTTTAAGTATATTTTGTAACTGTATCCTCAAAGGAATATATAAGTGCTAACCTAAAAAATTCAGTAAGAAATAAATTATGCTGAAATAGAGGTAAATGGAACTTTACATACTAAATTTCACAGAATGTATTCCAAGATAATACATAATGCAAGATATTTATGTAACTAATTGCATTGCAAGCTTTTCCTTTCTGTGTAATATCAGCCTTAAATAAAACAATTTTTATTATTTATCTGGGGACTTGGGGATCTTGCAAGCACAGATCGAAATACAACAGTCCTTGCACCACAAAATTTTTGATATTTTCTCTTTGCATGAAAAAACTGATCGTTCAATATAGACTCATTTTTGTCTATTCTGGTTTTATTTTGATAGGAACAAGCCAAGTGTTACAAATGAAGAGAGGATACAACTAGGATACAACTGAATTTCAAAAAGATTTTAAACCTTTTCATTTTATTTTTTATTTTTTTGCAAGACTTGATTCCCCCATTTTATACTACAGCCTTTTTACCCTTCAAATTCTCAGCAACACAGTGATCATTTGAGTTATGTGGCCAGTCCAAAATTTTCTCCTGAGAGTACACATAGCTGTATAGAGCAGATTCAGGCTTGCTTTCCCCACATTTGGGCATAGTCTGGTGTACACCAGCTTTGGTCCTGAAGCTGCGTACGCTTCGTTCACAATGTATGCAAGCTAATACATCCTGCAAAAGTTACCTAGTAGGATTATTCATGTGAGCTGAGTTTCTTGTAAGATTTAGCAGATGTTTCCACAATCATTACACTCACAGAGAGCTGATGCTTTTAATTAGATTAAGAAACTAGGAGAAATGTTGTTCCCATCAAAGTAAATGACACAACTCTCATTAACTTCAGTGAGCCTGGATTTCCTCTACTGCTTGACTTCCTGCAGATGAAACGCCCACGAGCAGTTCAGGAACTGCAAGTCAGGGTAAGAGCGCTTTAACTCAGCCGCCTCTTGTCCCGCAGCAGGGGTCGTCTGCGAAGGGCTCAATACAGCGCTGTGCTCTTTGCAGGGGTGCAGAGCGGCCGTGCGCCCGGGTGGCAAGAGGGAAGCGGGGAAGCAGTGCTTTTTGCTAGTCGTGAAGCAGTGCTTTTTGCTAGTCACTGCCACGTCAAACTTCCAAATTGGATTTGCTGAAAAACTTCAAAAATGGTTTGGTTAACCTGAAATACATGACGCTTTTGGCACCTGAAGAGCTAGCAGTCTGTTCATAAAAGTGACATACTAAAAAAAAAAAAAAAAAAAAAAAAAAAAAAAAAAATCAAAAAACGTCATATATTCTTACTACTGTATTCTGTAATCAGATGTTCTTAAATGCTTTACTTTTATTCATGGTTAAAATTTTCCATTTACATAGAAAAAAGAAGTAGTGAAGCAAAAATTATTAATACTATGTACGAAGAGATTAAAACTAAAAAGAATCTTTCTTAATTGTTGTTTGAAATGTCTTCAGTTTCTGATACCTAAGATTAATACTAATGATATTTACACTTCAATAATTATAAATTCTATTAACATTTTTCAAATCATCCTGACCTTATAATCTTTCATAGGGGAACTTACTGATGCTAAGGTCTAGGCAAAATTTGCTAAACATTTTTTGAGCTCTTTTGTCTGTAATACATGTTTTAAAATTAGCCAAGGCTAAAACGTGCTAGGAAATGGATTCCTTTTTGTTTTCTTTAGTAAGTTACAAATTTTAGTAAAACAAAAGGTAGCTGTATTTGCTGAATGGTATCTTTTTAAATCCACTGCTTTAGCATGAACTATATGAGAGATTACTATGACCTATGATGTATTTTGTCCTACAAGAGCAATGTTGAAAAAATATTTCTACAGAAGCTGGAAAGTTCATTTTTTTCCCCCTGTCACTGCCATAACAACTTTTTTTTCCCCTTGGCTCTTACCCTACATACTTCTAGTAATGTAAAAAAAAGGTATACAAAAATACACTCCTAACTCTTACAGCCTGTGTCAGCAAACTGATATAGTTGTGTGATAAAAGAAAGTAAAGGTAGCTGGATTAAATGTCTGTAAAATATTAAAAGTATTAAATAAGAACAATCTTTCCAAGAATTTAAAACTTGCTTTTTATACACTAAGTGTGAATTAAGTTAAGATTCCATATTTTTCTTTTATGAATCTCAAAACTAAATGCAAAAACATTACAATTTGGCATTTGGTCTTTCCTAATTGTCTCAAGTCTTGTAAATACTTCAGTTATTCCTTTCACTAGGTCATACCACCACCATGTCTTCACTTCAAATAAAAAAATTATCTTTGAATAATTTCCAGTGTGTGACTACAGCTAAGGGCAAAACAACTTCCTCGTGACTTGCAAATTGTGGATGCTTTGTTCTCCACGCTGGTCAAGCGCATTAAGTGACAGCTGCATTACAAGGCAATACCAGCAGAATGACCTTTGCAACACCACCTGATTTCTTCTCAACTTTCAGTTACTGCTCACTAGACGTGGGCAGACATTTCTGCCCCATTTACAGCGGCCTCGGTGCTTTTGGACTTCTTACAGACTGGGATGTCAGTCTGAGTGGTACTGCCATCATTTTCTTCTTCAGGCTGTCTGGGCACAGGTTACAAAAAAATGCCTATCCGTTTAGTTAAATAGTTAGAAACACTCAGCCTTCATGGAGTATTCTGAGAATCCAAAATACCATTCAAATATTGCAAATACTATAAATACACTTGGAGAACTAAAGCAAATAATCAACGTTTAAAAATTACATATGCGAAGAACGTGACTTAAATGTGATCAGACTGGCACTTCAACCCGCGGGCACAAGTTCGTGTCAGCCTAATTCACTGTTAAAAGGACTGTGAGTACAAACTAGTCAAAATAATTAAAAAGAGACAATAGTTTCAGGCACCATCCCTACTCATGAAAGTCCGCCAAATTTGGTGGGTTTAAAATCACATTTTCCTATTTCGCTTTTTCTTGTCTCTTTTTTTATACAGAAGGAGCCCACAAAAATAATAGGGTAAACATTAACTGAAACTTAATCCAGCAACATGGGGAAGAGCACGCAAACTATTAACTGCCTGGGTAGTCCTTCTGGCATACAGGGACAATGCAGATGCTTCATGAAGCCTAAGTTCTGATTCACTGAATCAAAGCCTAAAGCTTCCACCGAGTTTCAGAAAAATATTTTTATCTGGGGGAAACCCACTGAAGTCAGTATATACCCATCCTGACAACGCCACTTTAAATTACAGGATGAGAGCACAAACTGTTTCCAGTGAAATTTAACTTGTTAAAGATATACACAGGCAAAAGTATATCTCATATTAAAACAGTGACTATAAAAATCTCTAAAGGATATAATCCCTTACACTTTAAACCCTAAGGCAAATTCCAGCTATTTATTATAATGGTCAGACTGGTTTTATTGCAGCAAAAAAATAAATACACAAATACGTAGTGGAAGACAACCAACAGCCTGACAAAAATAGGTACAATGAATTTCTTTGACTTACTTGACAAAGACTAAACCACGGAAGTTCTACTTCTGTGTTTCATCACTAAAATAAGAAAGCTGTTTCTCCACACTGCTTTAGATTAAAACTTCTTTCATTATAATTCCTTGTCTGAATCATTTTCCCATCAACTTCCCTGTCTGCATCAATGCTTTTGACATACTGCAGATGTACTTCTTTCTGAAGTACTGTAGGAACTATTTCCTGGTATTTCATTAGCCATTACCGCTCTTTTACTTGCAAATAAGAAGAAAATGCTCTCACAAATGCAATTTTTATTTTGCTGAAAACAATTTTTGTAGTCTTTAAACTTTTTGATTACCATGTGCCCGAAGCAGAGCTTCTGCAGTGAACAGTGGGGCTTGAAGCATGTCAGCAGACTCCACTATCAGCATATCCTTAAGCCTTCGCAGATCCTGAAGTCTTAGCCCCTCATATGGCTTTGAGAAGAAGAAAAAAGACATTTTATGTCTAGCAGCACTTTCCAGGGAATCTCTACTTCTCTACATTAAAATGAAAACATTCAAAGCGCTATTACTGACAACTATCTCAACCGTAAAATAGAACTGTCCTTGTGATGTAAGATGAGATAAAATTAATACGTTGTGCAGACCAATGACCATGCAAAATTATATGGAAACTTTGTCATTTAGCAATATTTATAATATATGAACTTTGCACATTTCAAAATCCAAAAGACAGTATTTCTAACGTTCTCCATTATGACTGGAGGCCAGGTTCAAATGAGTAACTGTCCTAATAACACTGATTCTCCCCCGCAAAAAATTACTAGATTTTCACAGAATCCAGTTGAATCGTCAAGTGATTAAATCTCCAACATAGAGACATGGGGTAGGAGAAGGCAGTATTGGAACTGAGGTAATGTTTGGATTTGGAGGAAGACAGGGAGAAGGGACAAGTTAACATACGCTGCACACAGATTTCCTGACACTTACTTTTATATGTGACTTGAGACCCATTAACTTTGAATCGATCTGGAGGAGGATACGCTGAGACATTAGATAGTAAGAAAGGATATATGTTTTATGAACAGAATCAGATACACGTCTTTTGAGGCAATACGTGCCTTCAGAGAAGCAGAAAAAGCAGCAATGAATAGGAGAGGCCAGGCAGGCAGCTAGAGGCTGGGGATTCATTGTACATGAAGATGTCAAAACTCTCTTTGAGAAGCAGCGGCCACGCTCTGACAGCCCTGCGCAGTCAGAGTTAATTGCTGCCTTCCTCTGGTCTGGAGTTCCATCCCCTTATTACAATGCTAAAAAAAAGGTCAAATTAGAAAGGCAAAAAAGACAGTAATTTTAGGATTCTGAATGAGCCCCGACCAAGATTTTGGAGATGCATGCATACATTTTGCAGATTCACTTTTAAAAACAACAGTGGAAGAACATGGCAGCAGATAATACATTTTTTACTGTTGCCCAGGGAAATTGTCCAAAAGGTAGAAAGGGAAAAACAAGTAGGAGGATATGTAAAGAGAGTAGATACGAAAGGGTATGTGAGAAGAATCTATTCTTACATGCATTAGTTCTATGTAAATAAAGGATAGCAAAAAAAAGGTTTAAAACATTTGATATAAGATAACACTGAAATGCGCTCAGGTATAATTAGGAAGTTGGCCACCAAATGGCAATAGTCTTCTCTAACTTGGGAAAAAAAAGGACACAGAGCAGCAGTGATACTAGATAACCACAGTTCAGAGCAGGTGTCATTGCTATTACCACCTGTATTTTGATTTTATGTAGAGCATAGTCCAGGACCTTCCCGCATTAAGACGTTGTATACACGCGCACACGCACATACACACACACAGAGCAAAGACTGGTTCTGTCCTTGGAGGTCTACAGCCTAAGTAAAGTCTCTACTGTGCATGTAACCCCTTGAGGACAGCAAACAAAAGGCATAAGAGAGGAAGGGAGAGAAATGGATACATTCCACTTCTGAATGATTTTCTTCTTTTGAGACACATACTTCGAAAACATAACATTCTTCCTACATTCTGGGTATCACATGTATATGTACATCTGTATGAAATGCATCTAAAAACCACAACTGACTCCTACAATGACCCTTTCTCTTCGCTAGCCAGTGACATAAACAAGAACTTATAGATGTCAGAGTCGCTGTGACTGGCAAGAGTAACGGTGCCACAGCTGTGCATTGTGTCTTGTCCTTTTTGGGAAAGCAAGAAGAGCATGAGAGGAACGGACAGCCAGTGTCCTGACCTTTAGATCTGGACTGCCCAAGTTTAGGGAGTTTCTGTATGTGCTTCCATTTCCAATCATGAACGGTAAAGTAAAGGGCAAGTTGAACATTAATGGTTTGCGCTGAAGTAAATCTGGGCCGCTTGCTTCATAGGAATTGGCCTGACCTATTTAATTTCCTACAAAAGAGAACTTTTATAAAAGCGTGTTAGCGAGACAGGGTTACAAACAGCTGGGTGCCTGAATGATCTTAACTGCACGAATATGCTGTAAAAAATTGGAGCAATGAGTAAACCTTCTTTGCCTGAATTTGAACTGCATTTGGAATTGTAATTGTAAAATATATAGCTTTGTCAGCACAACAGTCCTCACTTTCTGAAGACACATACAAGATAAAAGGAGAATTCTTTTCTATTAAACCTGCAACATAAACGCATATTTTAGGACACAGCATTTTATCCTGAACTGCAGACATGCTCAAAATTATATTTAACTGACTGGTTCTAGGTCAAACACTGGCAATTATTCCCCTTGAGCAACAGACTATTATACTATCTCAGCTGGAGCAATCCATACAACCCAGCAGGGATTTTCGGATCCTGTAGTTTTTAAAAAAAAAAAACCTAATTTTATCTTTTTAAGCAATGAGGAGAATATTTCTTAAGAATGTGTTTGAAACTTTAGACCCTTTGTTCATAAAACAATACACGAGTCCACAACAGAAGCTAAAAGAAAGGAAACGTTGGCTGGCACAGGTAACCTCAGCTGGACATTGCACAGCGAAGGCTTTACAGTGAGAACCCTTTAAAAACGTTCATGTCTACAGGATGTAGTCTTATTGAATCTTGTGAAGATATCGTCTTCAGTTATAAGGACATACATTCTCTAGGTAAAAACACACAGTTTTTTTAAACAACTTTTGACATTTCTGACTTGTCTCTGTACTGCCATGTACTGCAAATAATCTTGATTCCAGCTCACGATGCTCAGAGGCATCTTTCAGTACTTGCTTACAGAGGAGGTCTTCACTGATATTTGCTGTGAAAAATGTTTTGTTTGAAATTAATATCACTGATCTATATAATGATTGTGAAATGTACAGTTCCAGTTGCTACATCCGCCCACTGGTGAGCTTCTCACTACAGATTTTAACACTTTGATATTCTCAACAAACCTTTTTTAAAAATACTTTCCTCTCAGATTTTTTACCACTAATACTCAGATATCCTAAATTATATTAGTGTTTTTCTCATGAAACTATTTTAACATGTAAACAGAATATTATTTTAACAGTCTGTTTCAAAGTATTAGTTTTACTTTTACAGCACCATTAAAGTAAACAAGGGCAAAGCAACTGCTTGCTACAGTGGCAACTATATAATTAAATGGTGACATATATACTTCATGTAAATATCCTCCTTTTTGGATGGAGTTATACATTTAATGGAGTTGAATGTTTAAAAAATTATTTATGCTCCATTTAACTCACTGATGTATCGGCATATGCACCATATCTATGTAGTGTATGTGTGTTTATCTCCTAAATAGCTAGTCATCTTCACTCCTTCCACTTAATAAATAATTCTCTATCTGTAGAGAACAAGTACATTTTTATCATTTTAGATAACTCAGTCCTTATCATACTCGCAATATACATTACATTCATTTTGGAACTGAAAAAAAACATTCCAAAAACTATATGCGCAATAAATCGGTGATACCTCCATTAATAAGTGCATTTCTACAGGCTTCAGAGACACATATGTAAAATAAACTAAGACATTATATATTTTTCTATTGTACAGTGTGTACTTCTCTGAGTCTGACTGAGAACCAAAACTGTTATGGATGATCTGCTCTGAATTACTGCGCGTTCCCAGGTGTTGCTTACATATGCTTAAAACATTGCAGAATGTGATGGAAATGAAGGTGCCTGTTATCTTCCAGGAATATATCAAAAGACAAATGTGCTTCTACGTTAGAATAAACAGTAAACTAGAGAACTGTGCAAGCAGAACAACCAAAATCTATAAAAGCAGTTTGAAAAATCATGCAATTACAGTTATATTATTTAGTGTAACTTCATTGAGATTTCAAAGATAAAACCATATATTTTTATGTAATAGAGTTAGCTGACTTGCATTATCTTTCGGTGTCTGTTCATTAGTGAAATGAAAGAAAAGAATCAAGACAAAGGAAGTCATCTGAAATACTCTCCTGGCTTGTTGTCTAACACCCTTCCCCCTGCCCACACAACATCTTAGATGGATCCTGTTTTGCTACAGCTATCTATCTACTCTGTGATAACAGGCAGGTTCTTGACTCTGCTCACAGCATGTTTGTCCTTTCTATTTTATATAGGGAAATACAGATTATGTGCGTGTGGTATATTGCTCTCCTTCTATGTCATGTTTTGTGGAAACACGCTTAAAGGGATCATGTTGGGGTTTCTAACCTATCAGGGCCTGCTTGCTACGTGCCTTTCACTGCTCTCTCCATTAAAAGTGCTTGAGGTATGTTAAAAACGAAGTAACTTCTCTTAAAAAATATCCATCAGGTGGTGCCGAAGCAAAATGAGATTTTAAAAGGTTAGGATAACTGTGTTAGGAAAGAGATGGATTTTATTAAGAAACCCTAGCAGAAGGAGTAAACTGAACTTCTAGAAGACTGCTCTTTGCCATCAGGCTCTCCAACTTGCAGTGTGGGTCTGCTCAGCGATGTGTATTTTTCAAAGGCTTGAAAGCCTCTCTAACCACATAGAAAGGTATGTGCAAGCTTTTTTCCACTACTGCAAGTGCTTCAGTTCTAAATATGAGCACTCACATAATTCCTTGGTAATATTTCAACATGAAGAACGACAAAAATTGGCTTTCAACATCAGAAACAAAGCTTTGTTATTAACCTGAATAAACACACTTAATCCAATGACACTGCACAGACCACCACTACAAACATCTTTTGGTCTGTATGAGAAAGTAATAATTTTCTGCTGTACACGTGACAGGCCTGGAAGGGAAGGTATTAGGTACTGTAATTCCGGATACTACTGTGCACACCATGAACCCTGAAAAGTTAATACTGTTTGGCTGTTTTGCCCAGGAAGATAATCATATTCATGGTTTTCAAACATTTTATTTTTTCCCTCCAACCTTCACTCATGAGATGAGATGACTCTGTAAATGCATTTCTTGGTGTTCCAAAGTTCTGGTTTTTGTGAATTGAATTCTCATGTTTTGGAAGGATAATAAAGTAAAGGATGTCACTGAATATCTACAATGTAAACAGTACGTCAAACAAGCATTTTGCATATTCACTTCCTTCAGGATTTGTTTTGTTAACAATGAAATTGAGAGAAAAAAGTAGAGGACCATACTCAAGGGGCAGTTTTAGATGAGGGACAAGCACTCTGGGAAGGCTTTCTGAGCACCTCTTGTCCCCATTAAGGTAATAGCATAGCCGGAGGCATCACCAGAGCTGGCTAGCGGTAAGAGCAGCTTTCACTGCCTATTCCAGGCATTTGCCCACAGACCCTAGGGATGCGGACATGTAGTCATTTGGATTGCAATTCAGCGCCAGTCTTTCTAAGGCTGTTGTTTTTCAATTATTTTCAGCCACTCTGAGGGCTAACACAGAAAGATGAGTCTCCCCTAGCTACACGTGCTTGACATCTTTCTTGGGCTAGCCCTTGCACTGTTACAGTTGCACAAGAAGTCAGATCCAGAACTTATCTGAGTGAAAAAAATCACAAAGAAAGAAAAAAGAGAGAGAGATTATGGAGGTGGAAGTACTCTACATGAAACCCCAAGACCACCAGTTGGTGTACCAGATTCCAAGGTGACATTTTTCAGCTTGTGAATCGTAGAGCATTTTGGAAAGCTGCCTTGACGTGTCATATTCATCTAGCCTCTGCAGGCCTGCCTTCGCTTCAATTCTCACGCTCAGAAACTTTGCTGAAAACAAGTCAAGTGAGGAACAGAGCTGGATCTTTTAATCATCCCAGTGAAGTGACCCCAAATTAACATAATTACCTATTACTTGAGTCCCCCTAGTAAATATCTAGCCTTTAAGTTCGTTTGGCTCCAAGTTTCTCACGCTAAAAACTTGTTCAAGTAGTTCCTGATTTGCCCCACCCAATCTGAAAGTTTACTATTCTCATACTTGTGCAGGTACGCATACCAGCAAAGCTGTCGTATAAGTATAATGATAAGAATGATTCAGGTTAAATAAAACAATTACATGCTACCACTCTCAAAGACTTTTTTTTCTCCTTTAAGCTAAATCGTTGCAATGATCCGGTTTACAGCATAATCATGCAAAAAGTTTTAAATATACAGCCGAAGGAGTGGCAATACACTGCAGCAGTGGCAGTGGTTTAAAGTGGTTTTGCCAACAAAAAAAAATATAATTTCAGACTATACTCTTACAACATTTTGGGTGTTTCTACATGGGAATATTTGGAGAAACTAAAATGGGTCAATTACCTTTATTACTTGCATGCACAACTGAAGTGTACTAAACCCCATTTAAACACCTCTCATCTAAGAGTAAACAATCTCATTAAGCTTGTTTAAATTTAAGTTAATTGAAGAAAATTAGGCAGAAAATTAACTGAAGAGTACAAAGACTCTCTTACTTTCAAATAAAAATTATCATGCATGGCATTTTTCAGGTAAACAACCGATGTGCTCTAAAGCTACTCGTATCTAAACCTGAATTAATTTTCTTTTAAGTGTCACCAGACTGTAGGAGCACTGACATAGTAAAACGTAAGGTCATTCTGCTTTTGAAGGGAATAGTCATATAGAAGTCTATATGCCCTTTAATTTATACAGAATTACTTAAAAATTTTAATGAGTCACATCATTTATCTAGGTATCCTTATTTAGAGTCTCAGTTAATTAAAATCTCATAATGGATGGGGAGGCAGGTTTTGGTTAGAACTTTTTGGTCAAATTATCCTTACCTACAGCAAAAACTTAAATCACAATCTTCTGTAAGGCATACCAGATTTCAAGCAAATTTGCGTCCGTGAATTTCAAACTGCTTTCAAAATTGACTTCAGAATAACATCCTCTGTTATTATCTGTCTTTCATACAAGTTCTGGTATGCAGTAGCTCCAGGCATCATGTTATAAAACAAGAAAGCAAATGCACTGTTTGGAAACTCGGCACTACTCCCTTAGCTTTTTTTTTTTGGTCACGTTCACGAGCTCAGTCTAGTAGAAAGAGACACAATACGTTTCTTTCCCTGTTCTCTCCCACTGATTTTCTCCTTTCCAGAATTTTTTCCTGTTCTCATTTTTACAACTTCAGAAACATAAAACTGTAAAAACTGTTTATTTTGGAGAGTCTGCTTCCCCACTAATGGCCCCATTGTTCTTCCTCCAGCCTGACAACATACAACGCTTTCAAGATAGCCCACATAATATACTGAAGAAGCGGAAGTGTACGTCTAAGAACTTCTCTTCAGCTTTGGCAATGGAGTTGTTGTTTCCTCTGAGCTTAACTTTAAAGATGTAAAGAGGTCTGGTAAAATCAACAGCCGTACAAATATAACTAAAGCATACTACCTGCTTAAATACTTTGCCAAATTGCGTCACAATGAAACTGCTACATATATATGTAGAAAACACCCCCAATTTAAAGTATCCTCTGACCTCTTTTTTGTCTAAAGCAGCATATTCAGCTTCAATGCTTTCAGCTTCAGGGTCACGTGAGAATACCATTCGAGATTCCAGGTTAAGAGCCAACTCTTTATGGTGCTGTTTCTCTGCGCAGTCACATGGGGTATCTTTATTTTCATTTTCTGCAAACAAATCTCCACCATGTTTTACTAGAAGCTGAAAGTAAAAAGTCAAAGTAAATAGCTATTAATTACCAACTCTAAAAGCACGCTGAGGAAACACAAGTATCAGTTAAGAACACAAGAAAAACAAAATAGTATGAACAAGGTAAAGAGAAAGAAGAGACAAAAACAATAGCGATGGTTTTTGGGAAATAAAGATTTTTCCATTGTTGTTAAACACTGGCTTGATTTCCTACATACTTATACCTATCATTTAATTCCCTGGAACCACAACATCCTAACAGTGCTTTTCAGGACAACTCTGAACACTCTGCCTCTGTTAGGGTTTAAACACTAAAGTGTGGTTCTGCTGGGATGGTTAGCACTCCAGTAGCAACCAGGGGCCCGGAGTCATTAAGGACGAGACCAGATGCTGCTAAAATAACCTTCAAATTACCTTTACATATTCTTTATGTATAAAATATGAGCGTAACCTCCACCATGCTTCGCATGTCTGAAAAATTGCTGGTAACAAAAGATGGGAGAATCCTTGGGTAGGAGGGAAGATGGGAAATCATTTACAGATAGTAGCATATAATACTGCTGGTAGCTCTAGTACTCTTAGTACTGTTTTTCAAGACATGACAGCAGTGAAATGAAATAATGCTATAAAATGCTAGAGCAACTAATTGCAAATCCAGCAACTTTTTTCCAACCGATATGCAAGTGGTACCATAAGCACACACACTGGGGACTGCTGAAAGGTGAGCATTTTTCATTTTTTCTGAATGTTTGATACAAAACGCAGTCTAGACAGGCCATTTTGCACCAGCCTTGTCTCTTGCCAGTAACCACCCAGAAATGGGAGTTTCTAGCTTAATAAGCAATAGTTGTGCTGCTCTCATTATCTTCCTAACCCCACCTCCTGCTATATAAATTGATCTGACATAACACGGACAACAAACGCCACAGATTTATATGGCCAACAGAGGACAATTTTGTTGATTTATTACAACATCTTAATAACACATGCTAAATTTCTAATGTGAAGCACTCAGGCAATTGTTCACTTAATTACCAAATAAAACTAAAACCTATAAACATTACCTTGTTTTCAGACCATGATGACTATAACATTACTATCCATTATTTTTAGACAGAATATTTCAAAACTCAGCTTCTAATTTTTATATTTCTAAAAAAAAATAAATTTGCCACAATAAAAATCTGTTCTCCATATAGACTCTTTTAGATCAAGATCAAGTCAATTCTTACTCTTCTCTTCAACAGGTTATAATTTCCTTAATCTGTCACTATAGAGTGCATTTTACACAACTGGAATCATTCTGGTATATTCTTGTGAAACTTTTCCCATGTTCTCCAAAATAAAAAGAAACATAAAAACAAAAAGTTCCCAAACAAGTACAAGGCTTCTTTGTCAAGATTTAGTTGAGAAGATATCTGTGTCATTAAGTATGACAACATATTTTCTCTTCATACCAGAATATCGGGCAGAAATATAGATAATACTAGGATAATTATCAAGATATCCAGCCTACAGTTACCTTGTTAGTTTATTTCACCTTTTTAATATTGGAAAAACTTTGTTAACGTACCTTGAGTTTCACACTACGTCCATACATTTTAAAAGCTAACAGAAATGTAAGTGAGGCAACTAAGACATCTTCTGAGGGAGCAAAATCAATAAACACGCTTGAAAGAATACTCCATAGACTTACGTAGTTAAAAATCTAATCTGCAAGATGGGGAATGTGCAGATTGACATGCTCTTAATAATGATGCCACATTTCTTTGGTGCCACTGTTAAAAAGGCTTGTGACACAATTTTAAGTCATTAAAAGAAGATTAATAATTTGAATAATCCCATTAATAATTTACATAAAATTTAAAAAAATAAAAGAGAAATCATTGTTAAATTCCTTCACTAAGCTCTGTTTCCCACTTTTCATAATGCATTGCTCCTGAAGGAGTTAAAGGGTCTACAGACTATACTGGAGGACTTAAGGCAGCTCAGATACTAGTCTTAGGATCTTAGGAGCCAGGCCAGCAATGTCCTCTGTTCTATGGAAGGGCACATAACAAAGTCTGAACTTGGGAGCATACCCTATGTTTCTCAAGTAGAAAGTATGACTAGTTAAGGCTATGTAACTGGGTCAAAATTCTGCCTAATGACAACCTAAGTGGACGAGACTGTAAATTCTTCAAAGACAAACTGCAAGAAAATTAGTGACATCAACGGTTTAGTCAATTTAATAGTAAGTATTCTAATGATACTACAGAAAATCTATATTCAAACCTAAGTAGAACAGAGGTAATACGAAATATAAAATAATACGATAAAACACTAAAAGAAAAATAAACCCAGTTTATATAATCAAATTGGAAATTAACAGTCTAGTAACTAGATTCATCTAATCAATCATGTCACAGACACTGAGAAACAGAACGATAATTTGTGAATAAACACAATCCAAGAACTTTCAAGATGAGTTTAAAACTAATTGATTTCAGAGGTGGCAGTTAAAAGCTTTAGCCCAGCTCCAGAGCCATGAATTACTCCTCAGTGACTGTGATTCTTTCAGATGTTATAGTCTACGTGGATCTCACTATGTGAGCATATTTGCTTCACGCTCTCAAAAGTTTAATATTTTGAATAGCAGTGCCTACCTCTAACGCCATCATCCAGCCTAATTCGGGGGTGTAACGGCAGAATGATTGAGATAAAAGAATCTTTGCTCAAATCTCATGCAAATCTTAAGTCCAACTTATCTGAGGATCTCAGATGTAGAAATCGAGTGCAGATAAGACTGACAGAAAACAGAGGAACAACAGTTTCTGTAGAGAGTGCAACTGTTCTTTCTTTTTGCAGTACGTATCAAGATGGATCCAACCTTAGGCAGTTTACGTATCAGTGTAATAGATATAACATTTCACAAACGTGAGTAAACAGGCTTGTAAAATAGCAGAAGCTGAAATATGCCGAAAACTGATTGCTACATTTCTCTTCTGTTTGCCACTTCTCTACTGGAAGTGACCATTCCCATGTTAGATCAGTTTATGTGAGTGGTTTTCATCTACTGTGGCTCAAAGAGGTCCTAAATGCTAAATACCCTCCCTTTTTTCTGATATGACATGCATATTTGGCTTCTAATGTAGAATAACGCTTAAAAGCAAATGGATCTTGTAGAAGGCTACATAGAGCTACCGCAGCTAGAATTTTTCAGCTGCTGGATCAAACAACTGGGATTAAAATAGAGAATGAGAGAAAATTACACAGTCCCTTGCAATTAATAAATGTTATCTATTTATCAAATATAAGGAGAATTGAAAGTTGGCGATCAACCTAAGAGCATTATTAACGTAGACCCAGAAGACAATCTGGTCTTTGTATACAAATCAGTCATAACAACAGAGGCACTAAATCAATCATATACACACAAATAAGGAAAGATTCATTCCATTTGGCAGGAAGAGCCAGGCAATATCTGTGTATAATTCAGTTACGTACATAATTAGCTGGGTTTGGGTATTATCTAGCCAGAAAAGACCACATGGTGACTTGTGTCCCCAGCGGAACTCAGTAAATATGTAAATAATCTCTAGGGAAGCACTAAAGACAAACTGCTTGCAGGGCATTTACAACATAGGGCAAAGAAGAGAGAAGTCACAGAGGCAGGATTTAGGCTGCTACAGGGAAGGTTAAATATTGCAATCTAATGGCTGCATCCTCTTGACTCTTCTCAGTACTGAGTAAAGGACCAGACGGCCAGAAGCTTAACTTATTGCAGAGAAAACTGTATAGAGAAGCAGGATTTACCTCGGAAAACTACAGAGGAAGGACGATTTTTACATTAACAGAACAAAAGAAGTGTTGACTATTAGACATAAAAAAGACTATAGCTGAGCTTTAAAAGAGAAGACTCATGAAAATCCAGCAGGTGAAGGAGAGCATACTGTGTAAGGTGGTGCACAGCTCAGGCTGGGGAATTGAAATGCCCAAACGCCCAATATTAAATGAGACTCTTGAGATAATATCTGGAAACTCAACAGAATACATATGCTGTGTAACAGAATAATACCAAGGGACAAATTATAAAAGAACGACAGAGAAGGTCACAGTAGTGGAAGGGTGGTGCTCTACTTAAAAGAAAAAAAGCAGCTTACAGATAAATAAGCTAACTCTATCAACAAATACCAGAGAATCCCAATGGAATACAATCTGGACTTAAAAACAGAAAAAGAATAGTATCACTGACCATTTGGTCAAGATTGTAACAATAACAGTGACATGCTACTGAAAGGCTGCAGGGAAAGAAAACATAAGAATAGACTCTTCAGTCACTGCCTCTCCCAAGTATATTAAAAAAAATACTATGGTGGTACACAATGCATAAATTAAATTTTCAGACACCACAAATGACTGAGTCATAGACAAACTTACTTAGGAAACCCATGAGAGGAGAAGCAACTCCTGACGATGTCCAGAGCAGTACGCAAGACCTGATTTAAAATCTTACTATCAAAGAACCACTCAATAATAACGCCCAAAACATACTCAGAGGCAACATTCTTGCGGAAGCAGAAAACATCCCAAAGATTCCCTGCATAATTCTAAAAGGTGGTACTAAATAAAAGCGAGGAAAAAAATTCCTGAAACTTCAGAGCAATCTGTCAAGGTGGAACAACAGGACAGAGGACATACTGGAAGCAATAAGCCAAAGTTGTGTGTAGATGAAGCAAACGTAAAGAACAAAGGCTGGAAAAGCTGTCAAAACACACTAGAGGAGGCTAAGAATAATTTGAACAATATGCCAACTGCACAAAAACTCAGAATGAGTCATTTAAAGACATCACACGCAGTAAAGTCTGCCCCTTAGCCTGGTCAGAGTGTAAAAGTGTAAAAGTGCTCAAAGAAAACAAGACAGAAAAGTTGTAAGCATTGTTGGAATGCAGATTCCCTGTGGATGTACAACGTAGGTCCTTGTGTTTTACAAAGGACACAACAGAAAGTCTGTTTCCAATGGAAGCCTTGGTACAAAATTTTCTAGAACAAATCACTAAAATGAATAGTAATGAAAATCCAGCACCAGATGGTATTTATTCGTGAGTTTTCATGGATCTCAAATATGAAATTGCTTCACTGTTTACTATAATATGAAACTTCTTGCTTAAATCTGCCAGGGTACAAGACTAGAAGATGGTAAAAGTTACTCCAATACTAAAAACGGTTCCAGAGAAAATCTGTGAAGTACAGAACAGCACACGTTTGATAGACAATGCAAACTGATGGAAAATATAATAATAAGCATTACTGATGGACACACTGACAAATACGAAATAATGAGGAAAATATAGCTTTCACAGAAGGAAGTTGTGTCACAAATTTATTAGATATTTCTCATGGAGTCAAAAACACAAGGAGAAGAAAGAGCTGGCTGATATAGTCTACGTATAGATTTCCAAATGGTTCAGTAGAAACATTTAAGAAAAGTAGGCAACCATGGAAAGCTCTTTGATTAAATAAATAACTTGTTAAAACGCAGGAAAACGGGAATGTCTGTTTTTACTGCAGAGAGAGGTCACCAGTGAAGCCCCACATGTACTAGGACATGACTTTTGAGTTATGCAGAAGTTACCTGGAAAAGCAGGTGAATAACAAGGTGATATAGTTTGCTGGTGATCCTACGCTAATGACTACAGGGTGGCGTCAAAAGACATGAAGAGATGCAAATAGGAAGAATAATCTAAATTTATATATACATGATGATCTTTTAATGAGTCATTGCCATTCAAAAACCAAATCTTACGTTGTAATAGATGGTCTTATGAAAACGTTAGCTATTGCCGAAAATGTTAGAAATCTGTTCCAGTGTTTTTTTTATATTAAAATAAAACTAAATAGTAAATTATAATTAAAGAGTAGCCCTCAACATTTGGTATAGTTTAAAAATAAATTTGATGGGAGACATTCGAAGTTATTATGACTCCCTGCTATTCATTACGACTCACCGTTTTCACAAACATTAAAATAATTTTTAATTTGTAAAAAGGTAATTATATGTAAGTATGTCAGCACAGATGTACGGCTTTCTCTAAAAAAGTTGGGCACTGTAAATTAAAGACATTAGACCCGTTCTTGAGGCAAGGATAAGTGGTTCAGCATTTCCCAGTCTCAGCTACAGAGCAGGATAAAAAGAGATTTACTTTTTTCTCAGGCAGTTATCTTACATCTCTTTACACCTACAGGTATGTCTATGCCTTTCTTTAAATCTCGTTTTCCAATATTACATTGTTGTAATTATTTCCAATTATGAGACTTCGTGCTGAAGAGTTTATCACATGAAGTTAATGTATATGTAACTGAGTTTTTCCTTGATCTCTACTAAGAGAGTGTATTTTTCGGGCTGCTTATCTTTGTCATTTTCCAATTAATAAAACACAGTTAACACAGAAATAAAAAATACAGTTAACAGAATAAAAAAGTTAATTACATACATCAACTCTTTTCCTTTATGAAAACAGCTTTATGAAACACTCTACGTGTCATTTATTAATATATACAGACTTGTCATTATAGATCAACTTTTACCTCTACACAGGTTTTCATCCCTGAGGCAGCAGCATAGTGCAAAGGTGTGTTTTTTTTGTTATCAACAGCATCAATTGCTGCTCTTTCATATTGTCCTTCATCCAGTTTTGCTCCCTTCCACTTCAGGATCATTTGCAGACAGTCCGCTCTTCTGCAGTCATCTTCTGAGGGTCGTGTCAGGCGAGGGTGAAGAGCTCCTTCAGATATCATGATCTGGGGTCCCATACACAGTAAGTGCATAGATGTCTCATTGTGCACGTTCCGTTTATTTGGGTTTCCATCTCTAACAAAAAGAAAAGTTCTACATGGGAGAAAAAAGGAGAACAATAATCAATACATAATGCAGTTCATTTCCTTGAAGTGAGAAGGGTCTATTATGACTGCTCCCTTTTCCTCCTCCCAAGATTTTGATTAGCCTTGTCAGGGATAAACATTCTCAATGGGTAATGACTACTGGATACGTTTATTTCTTAACATGCAGAAGTAAAAGAAAAACGCCCTTAATCTCCTCCTTTTATGCGGTGCTCACAAGGTGCTTTAATTACCCATTAACTCTCTCCCAAAGACTATGAATTGCTTTTCCTCTCATTTTAGGAAAACCAGATGTAAATCAGTCTGTGTTTGAGAACCCTGTTCAGAACACCAGTAAGCGCTTATAAAAAGCTGAAGGAGTGTTTCACATTCATATGTGAGTACTACCAACTCTTCTCCATTACTCTTAGGAGTCAATTGTGAAGAACAGGATGAGTTACCAAAACCCAAAACATCATTAAGTAGTATACTTAATTACTTTGTCAGTATGTGACATAAATTTTAGTTGGCAGAATTTATTCTAAAATGCTGTGTTGTATTATAAGAAGTTTTGTTAGGTTCAAAGATGAACAGGATGGATTATTTCTTTTTTCTACTCTCTTCTAAATAGCCGTGTACTTGGTAAGTTACAAATAGATGATGTCAATTGAGTTCATCCCCTCTATGCCTTAAAAAGCTAAATGCTAGCTAAAATGCTAAATGCTAAGCTAAATGCTTAAAATACTAGTGGCACTACTTAAAAAAAAAAATCATTCTTTCCCTCATCTTCATTCAGATGTAAAGGTAACATTTCCTATTTCTTGAAAATATATGAAATTCTTTTTCTGCTAGCACCGCATATACTGAGAAAAGACCCTCCTTGCTACTAATTTTGGAAGCGTAACATCATGCAAATCCTCACCTATGAAGATGACAGAGGCTGGCAAGAGTCAGTTTTCTCTAGAAAGCTTTAGAGGCCTTTCCAAATGGGCAGACAACTATACTAGCAGATCCTTTGATCAGCTGAGGAATGAAAGGGAAACAACAAACCAATTCTTGGAATCACAATTCCGATTCCTGCCAGCTCCTGAGACAACAAAGCTTTCTGCTGCTTCTTGCCAGCAATGAATTATAAAAGTTACAATCCAGCTCTGAAGGAGAAGAACCAAGACATCATACTAGCCCTTAAAACCAAACTTGCTTTAGTCTTTTGATGCTGAAAATAATAAATTTTTTCTTAAGGGTGGCTGAATGGTAGGAAACAGCAGAAAACAAAGACTGTCTCTTCGTGGGTGGCCATCTGCAGGAGATTCAACAAGACAGACAGACCCTTGGTAGGACTGGGGGCAAAAAGAAGGCAATGATGAAAGAACTATGTGAAGATAGGAAGGATGACTCACAAAAGAGGTAGCATCATATTAGATCAGAAGCCTGGTACATAGGTTCAAGAAGTCATTGCTGGAACATTTGCACTGTGCATAAACCCCATCACGCAATGAAGCCAGCAGAATTCACCGTTCATCCCCACATCGAACTGCTGCTTGCCTCCTTACAGCTTGCAAGTATTAAAAAACAAGTTGTTTTGGAATCCTCATTAAGTCAATAGAGGGGATCAGCTTCCACCTACCCTGCCCTCACCCCTAAAACTCATTAAAAATAGTTCCAAGCGCTTTTTGGTTCAAAGCAAGCAGGCAAGCCATTTGAAGGCAGGCACTACCTAAACACAAAATCAGACTGTATGGCTCTTGGTGAATGGTGGAGCACAGAACTTGGGACCAAACTGACAAAAAACAAAACAAAACAAAACGGGCAGTTTAACATTTTTAGGGTAGACAGCTTTTCTTCAAACATTCTTCCAGCTAATTTGTAATGACTGACATAATTACTAAGCACTGAACCCTAAAAAAAAAAAAAAAAAAAAAGAGTTCCTTAGCGCCTAAGCATTTTTAACTGATTTTAGAACATTTATTGCAATTAACAACGCACAAAAACATCTGAACTCACAAATGAACTATTTCAGTCAAAAATGGCAAAACGAAGCACATATAACAGCAAAAATCTTCTCGTCCACAGATTGCATGTATTAATTAACTGTAACCGTGGTTCTACGTAACAATATGTAAAAGTAACAGAGCAACAGTTAGACTGGATATAAGAAACACCTGGAAGATTTGCATGTAAAGTCATTCACAGCTAACAAAACCACCTTTCAACATTCTCATATTCTATGCAATATAGTCAAGGTTTTACTAGCTTCAGTTTATTATGTAGCTCTCTTAACTATGAACATATTTCACCATATTTACTGAGTGGAAATTGCGAAGTAATTAGTTAATAAATCTTTGACAGTATATAGTTAAATTATGCCACTGTTGAATCTCAAGTATTGCCTTATGGTATGGTATGTTTACAACCCTAGACATCCTCCTCCCCTTCCTGTTCTCCCTGAACACATCCTATTAAGAATCAGATGTTATGACTTTCCCTTTTTTTTCAGAGAATAATCCTGACATTTCTTTATTAAGGAGTAGGCTATATTCATCAGGTGTGGAATTTCCATCCTGAAAACTACTGAAAACAGATTGGATAAGTATTTCAGCAGAAAAAGGTAGCTGCAGTTGATCCTGCTCTGTGGTGGATGGATGTGCTGAGGATACCTCCTCGGTCAGCCCATTTTCTATCATTTCCTCCCTTTTAAAATATCTGATGAGTTTAAGAGTGAGATCAAAAAATACTGTTCTTTTAAAGAAATGGGAACAATATGTTTACAGAAGGACTTTAGAAAAATGAAACAGTCTTCGCGACAATTCTCCTACAATTCCTCATGATAGTCCAATCATACCGATTCTACAGAAATCCGAGCAGAACTTGAGTATGAGAATGTGTCTGACAGAATGCTTTCTTTTCCTTAACTTCACTTTTTAACTTTGATTTTCCAGTTCCTAAGTGTAAGCTCTGTTCAGTAAATTGATTTCTGAAACTGGCTATGTCACGGCGTAGACTACTCTGTGCACATATGAGGGTCTGCCAATTCGTGGATAATCTTGAATGAGTTTTCCTCCTCTTGTTTGTTTTTCTCTCCAGCATTGCAATTACTGTCATTGCAGAATACAATAAACATCCAAACAAGAAAAACAAAACAAGGTACTTAGATATTATTAGAGCAGCTACAATCCTGTCAAACTTCAGGTAGGCCTGAAGAAAGAGTGATGAAATTAGATCATTGTATCACAGACTTGCATGCCAAACCTTTATGGCCAAAAGAGAGCCATGCCCTACTGGAGGCCCTTGAAAACTAAATGCTGTGGTACCACCCCATTCACAGGACTTTATCTGCCATCCATCATGTACGCTGATATATATAACCATATTCCTTCAAGTGGCAGGATATGCATCTTGTTGCGGGATTAAATGGATCTCCTCCAATACACTGACACATGTTCACCATATAACAAAGACACTTGTTTTTGATCGTATGCTGGTTACCCATATGGCCACAAGTTAAAGGATGAGAACCTGGTGAGGATGAGGAAGATATGGGAGATTACAAGCTGCCCATGAGACAGAACGCTGCCGACATGCAGCAGTGTATGTGCACGCTGTTCACTCTACTAATTCCAAAGCCTTACTCGATTGCCATTTCAAAACTAGCGTCCCTCTAGAGCATATTTTTCCAAAAAATATTCACTTATAGTACTGATTACTTACTGGTTTTCAGACTGGATTATGGATATATACATTATATAAATGAGCAATGCAACAATTAGAGAAACTTCAGAGTTCATTAGTGCTACTCCTCAGAAATATTAGATATCAGTATCACATAAATCAAGTGAGTCCTATTCAGCCTAATGACCTAAAATAGATTACGTGTTCAAACTAATAATCTATTTTTTTGAACCAATCACCGAAATGCCTTAAATTAACTCAGATTACTTTTAAATAAAATGTAGATTCAGAGATCAGGTTTTGCAGAACACTTCAAAATTTCAAAACAATCAAAACGGAACATTTACAAATCCCTCTAGAACATCTTTTTTAAAAAAATGCTTTGGCTGATTTGAAACCTAATTTTCATTTTTTTACTGTATTGTGGAAAATAGACAATATTCGGAAGGAATATTGTCCAAGAATATGCAACACTACTGTAATTTCTCAGAAATAAATTTCAGTAAAACCATTATGATCTCATGAAAAGTTTTGACGGAAAATGGTTCACTTGTTTTTCAATAAAAATATAACTAGACACCGACCTCTCAATAAGCAGCAAAACGTTTATTGATATTTTTAAGTTTCATGTCAGGATACCTATGTTAGCATCATAAGTCTCAATGTCAAACCTTCTTAAAATAACATTTTCCTTTCTGTTGCTAGACTCAATCAACTATTCCTCATCTTGCAGTTTAGAGCTGACTTTAGTAAGCTACATCAATATTAAAACTACCTGCACCTTATCTCTATTGGGATTTTACACTGAAATAGCTACTGCATTTAAAAAGAAAACAAAACCAAAACCTTACTTTGGCAGCAAAAATGGTCCTTAGAGAAATCTCATTTTTGCTTCATGATGGCAGACTTAGATACTATCAATATGCCAAATTTAAGAGTCAAGATGCTGGTGAAAAGGCAATAACAGATTTTGTTTGCTTGTCTTTAGTTTTAAGAACAAAGGCTTTTAGCAACACAGGCAAAATGCTTCATATCGGGTTACAGGAAAGGATAAGACTAACCAGTATCAGAGACTGTCCAATATGAAGTATAACTATTTCCTTGTCTGAATGAGCTTTACCTGGTGTAACACTAGCCTGAAAGAAAGGAGGGAAAGAAAGAAAGGAGAGGGGGGGAAAAAGATCATCTCAGTGAGGGATGAGGAGATGAATTCGATAGAAGGCATCTAGATACTAGGATGGTTACCACTGCAGACCGGGATGATGCAAATACAAGGCTAAATGTAAGTCACATTGGTCTTTGTGAGATGTAATTCTGGAGACGCACTGAAATCTGCACTTC